TTTTGGTTTTTTTCTCCGGTACCGGGAACCGAACTCACAACCTCGCGCTTGCCAGGCAGGCGCTTTTGCCGCTGAGCTAAATCCTCAGCCCCTCAGTACAACTTTCTGTAATGGTGGAAATATTCTGTTATCTACATTGATCACACAAAGTTTATTGAGATTTTTTTAACATTTGAAAAGTGTTCAGAGGGGCTGGGAGCTTAGTTCACTGATAGAACATTGCCTACATATGCCTAAATTGCTTAGAACAAGTCCCAGCACTGCCAAAAAAATCAAAACAAAACAAAAAACAGGAACTAGCTGATGTGACTAAGGAATTGCATTTTAAATAAATAGTAAATGTAAACATTGTCACTAGTGACTATCATATTAGACAGTATAGATATTGATGGAATCAAGAACCATTGCTGTTCAGGGGATTGGCTTAGATGAACAGGTTCCCTGAAAAACGGGATTAGACTTACCTTTTGGAGCTGCCATTGTTAAATTTGCATATGTGGGCTTTGGGCCTATTTTCTTATGGAAGAAAGTGTTTGTCTTCTAGCATTTCATGAACAATCCTAAAGTAAGATATAAAATAGTACAGATAAGTGATAGGAAAAGAAATGGCCAGCCTATAAAATTGTGTTTTAAATAACACTAAAGGAAAATTGAAACATAACCATATTCACTATTTTTATACATTTTCTAGTTTGATAGTAGAGCCTATGGAAAACTGGCTACAGTTGATGCTGAATTGGGACCCACAGCAGAGAGGGGGACCTGTTGACCTTACTTTAAAGCAACCAAGATGTTTTGTATTAATGGATCACATCCTGAATTTGAAGGTTAGTTTCAATGAAGTATATTTCTTAAGACCTATATTGAAGTTAACAAGTTTACTTGAAAACTGAACATAAGTGTATTTTACTAATCTTTTCATGGTATTTATTTGAAAAAGAAAATTACATTCTTAGAGCTGATGTTTTTCTATTTCTTTTTTCAGGGGGAGGGTATCTGGAATAGAACTCAGGACCTTGCACTTGCCAGGCAGGCACTGTGCCCCTCAGCTATATCCCTGGCCCAATTTTTCTATTTCAGTTTGCTTCTAAGTGGCCTTTTTGATTATTCCTTTGAAGCATCTTTTATCTTTTTCTTCCCTTGTTGGTACCATTAATGCTTTGTTCATTTAGTTTTGTTTTTTTTAAGAGTAGGAAGAATTTATTGAGAGAAAGCAAGCTTCTGTCTGAGAGGGACAGAAAGAAGCTTGGAAAGTGGGTTGCCCATCAACCCCACTTCTCAAGGGTCTTTTATTGAGCAAAGATGTGAGGTGAGGTGAGGTGAGGTAGGCTTAAAGTGCGACAGAACTATATCCAGTAAGATTACAATGATAGTTGCTTAGGTAATATTGATTTAATGGCAAATCATAGGATGAGTATGAGGTCAGGCAAAACTGTGGTCAGCCAGTAAGTGTACAACAAGTATAGTCACTTGGCTAACCTTCCTGTATTTTCAATTTAAATTTATCATCATTTTAATAAAATTATATGAGATAAAGCATGACCAATTATTAGCAATGGGCAAAGACATAACATCATAAAAACTTTGATTATCTAAGTGAGTCACAATCTGGGATCTGTGAAACAAAACAAACTATTACCTCCATCCAATTATTTCAGTGGAAGACCTCCAGATGATATAGGGAAATGAAACTCTCAAACTGTTAGATGACTAAAACGCTGAGTTCATGTTCTCTAAAACTGAGAAATGAATTCTAGGAACAATGGAGGTTAAGAGTAGAAGAATTTATTGAGAGAAAGAAAGCTTCTGTCTGAGAGGAAGAGAGAGGGCCTGGAGAGTGGGTTGCCCCTCATTTAGGTTTAATCATACTAGATTTAGTTTAGTGAGAAAGATTCTTACCTACGTTTCGTATCTCTGTACTTACTGTCCATCCTGTATTCTCTGCAACATGAACTGCCCTTTCTCATCTTCTGAGATTAGAAGAGATCAGGCATATTCTGGGTGATATGACTATAGATTGCTCTTCATCTTCTGAAAATGCTTTTTGTTGTTGTTCTTCTGTTCAGGAAATTAACAAAGGTTGTTGGAGAGGTTGGGAGGTTTTGTTTGTTTTGCTCATTAAGTCCCATTTAAACTGACCTACTTGTCTGGTTGGCTTTTTTATGCTTTTTAATGCAGGTCCACCAACCAAATACATGCCTTATACCTATTTCTCTTAACTATTATCTCACTCAAGTTTTTTACTGCTCCTCATGCCATCAAACCCTTTATCTATTTTTGTGCTTTGATGGATGTTGTGTTTCTGCCCAGAATGATCCCCATCTCTGTACATCTAGTTGACCACTCTGGCATATCTTCAGCTTGCTTTTTCTTTACATGTTGTCTGCCATACATATGTCATTCGTATTTTGTAATTCTGTAATTGTTTGTCACCTGCCATTATGCCTCTCCACTCTGTGTCTGTCCTTTTGGGCAGAGCTTCACTTACTCAGTCTCGCACTGACTTGACCTGTATTAGGCTACTTCCACTGAAGCTTTAGGTGAGAGTAATAAGAATGTTTTCTTATGTACCTTTTAAGGTTTTAGGCAGGTCACTGCTTTGTGATTTGATTGCTTTTGAAAATAACAATATATTTTTTCCATAGAATTAGAGGTTGACTCTTCTACTACCTGATTTTTTCTTGAGGCAACATGAGGTAGTCAGGAGTTCAGATTCAAGCTCTACCAGTTATCAGCTGTGTGCTCCCTAACAAATTCTTTGACTTCCTAGAGCCCTGGTTCTTCCCTCTGCTAAAATGGAGATTAGAAAGTCTAATTAATGGAAATGTTTTGTTAAAGCACTTATCTCTATAGTTGGTATCTGTCAGGTACTTCATATCTGGGAATATTTTGTTCTAGTTCCATAATGCTGTTACTCAAAATAAATACTGCAGATGTTTTTTCAAACTGGAATTTTTATTTCTTGATTATGTGCATCCCTAAAACTTCGAAATTTTGTTTTTTGGAACTAATATCTGTTGTACTAGGAAAGTAAACTGTTCTTCAGTTTTCAAAATGTTATTTTATAATTATAGGAGATCTCACTTTGGAGAATGAGTGTGTAGAAGTTATGCCTTCTGCTGATATTCTGCTTTCAGTATCTTGCACTGAATTGGTATGTAGCAAAATGATCAATAAATTTATCTTTTTCTTATTCATATAGATAGTACACATCCTAAATATGACTTCTGCAAAGATAATTTCTTTTCTGTTACCACCTGATGAAAGTCTTCATTCACTGCAGTCTCGTATTGAGCGTGAAACTGGAATAAATACTGGTTCTCAAGAACTTCTTTCAGAGACAGGAATTTCTCTGGATCCTCGGAAACCAGCATCTCAATGTGTTCTAGATGGAGTTGTAAGAAGTCTTTTTTGTTTTTTAATTGATGTAATATTTGTACTTATTTATGGAGCACAGTATTATAATTCAGTACATATTGCAAGGTGCAATGATCAAGTCAGGGTTACTAACATTTCCATTTCCTCAAATATTATTATCTTTATATATTAAGAACTTTCAAACTTCCTCTACTTTAGTTACTTTGAAGTGTATGAATAATTGCTGTACACTACAATTACCCTACTGGACTATATAAAAAAGGTTTTAAGAGAGTTCCATTATACCTAGACTCTGAGGGGCTGGGGATTTAGCTCAGCAACACAGCACCTGCCTAGCAAGCACAAGGTCCTGAGTTCAATTCCCAGTACCAGAAAAAAAACAAAAACAAAAAAACAAACAAACAAACTTAGAATCTGATAACAAATCTGTATAGAGTTGTTGTATGCCCTGCATTTTTTGATACATATGTGGAATTCCCCTGGGAGTGGTTTACATCTTATAATAATTCTTTTAGTTTTTGCTTCAATGACTTTATCGTTGCTTTGCAGGTTAAACAAGATAGAAGTAGCACGTTTGTTGTTTTGAACTTTGTAAGACTTTTTCTTTGATACCAGTTCTATCCCACTTTCTTTTCCCTCTTGTAATTGAAGCCTAGAACCTTGAAACTAGAGTAGCAGTTTCATTTGTCCTGTCACAAGATAAGTATGATTGTGGTCATGACTTGTATTTTCTATTTTTTTGTTTGTGACAGAGGCGGCATATTTTACGTACGTGATTCACATATGCCAAGTATACAGTTCTGTGGATTTTTAAAAATTTAAGTCAGTTTAAAAATATTTCCATATCAATAAGATCTGTAATGTCTATTAACTGTTAATCTCCCTCTTCCCACCCTGTGCAACCACTAATCTTTCTGTCTTCGTGGATTTGCCTTTTGGGAACATTCACACAATGGAATCCTATAATATGTAGCATCTTATGTCTAATTTTTTTCATTAAGCATCATATTTTCATTTTTCACTTTAGCCCTTATGGTTTTTTCTCTGCAATGAAAATTTAGACCCTAAATCTTTGCAGTGTCTGTTAATGCACATTGACTTTGTTCATTTGTGTTTCATAGTAGGACATCTGGTGGTTAAATATTTAGAAAACCTAGAGTTTTTAAGAATCTTTGAGCAGAATTTGAATTATTTGTTTCTTTTCAGAGAGGCTGTGATAGCTATATGGTTTATTTGTTTGATAAAAGCAAGACTGTATATGAAGGACCATTTGCTTCTAGAAGTTTGTCTGATTGTGTAAATTATATTGGTAAGTATAGTTGTCCATTTATTGATGAACTTTAATTTTGAAATAGGTAATTTTGTCTCAACATGATTAGTAGAAATGATCTTTTGGTGTTTTTATTCTGTTTCTCTTATACTTAAGATTTCTATATATGGTAAAAAATGGATTCATGTATTTTGGAAGGTAAAAGCACAGATTTTAAGCCACCACCAGATTCCTTACTTAGAAGGAGGTACCACAAGTACCTTCCTAAGGTTAGGTCTCTCAAATATAACAAAATAAAACGCCACTCTTAATAAGCCTATATTTTCATTGTTTTTTCATTATCTATGAGTGTTTAAAAACTTATTTCCTGGTTTTGTTTTTGTTTTTTGCTTTTTCTGGTTCTGAAAAGTGAACTCAGGGCCTTGTTCATACTGGTCAAACACTCTACCACTGAGCCCTATCCCCAGCCCTCAAATATTTGTTTTATTTTACAAATACTGCTTGATATTCAAATGTTTTGTCCTATGAAGATTATTCTTTTCTTTAGAAGTTTTTGTTCAATTTACATCTATCCAAACTAAAATTGGGCACAGAATTATAAAATCAAGAACAAAATTGGGCATGGGCTAAAATATGTGTATTCTTTCTGGAGGTATTGCTTATATGTAATGAAATGCACAGATGGATATGTTCAGTGTTTTGTTTTTTTTTTTGTGGGGACCAAACACCCAAGGCCTTCTCATTGAATTACATTCCCATCCCTCCCGTCCCCTTTTATTTTAAGATAGGATCTCACTAAGTTTCTAAGTTGCCCAGGCTGAGCTTGAACTTGCAATTCTTCTGTCTCAGCTTCCCGAGTGCTGGGATTATAGACATGTACTATGTGTGCCTAAATTTGGTAATTTTTGACATGTATATACCTGTAAAATCATACCACAATCAAGATACAAGGGGCCAGGGATATAGCTCAGTGGCAAAGTGCCTGCTTGGCAAGCATGTGGTCGTGAGTTCGATTCCTGTACAAAAAAAAAAAAAGATACAAAAAATTTCTTTTTCCTCAGAAAGTTCTTTCATGTCTTTTTTAAGTCACCTGCTCTCCTCACTACCTACCACCCTGATTTTGTTTAACTCTTTAAGACTTTTTAAAGGCTAGGCATGAAAGCAGGTGCCTATAATCCCAGCACCTAGGAGGCTGAGGCAGGAGGATTGCTGTAAGTATAAGGACAGCCTGGGCTACATGTGCGTTAAAGCCCAGCCTGAACTTCATAGCAAGAGCCTGTCTCAAAAAAACAAAAACACAAACTAGTAGAAGTTTTAAAATACCTTTTTAGATTTACAGAAAAACTAAGCAGATAGTATAGAGTTCTTATGTAACTTCTCCCTCACACACATTTCCCCTTTTATTAATGTATTAGTCCAGTACATTTGTTATAATTCATGAACATGTTACTAACTAAATCCATACTTTATTCAGATTTCCTTAGTTTTTAATCTAATATCCTTTTTACTATTCTAAGATCTCATGCAAGATACCACATTACATTTAGTTGCAATGTCTGTTGAAGATTCTATTAGTCGTGGCCGATTCTGAGACTTGGCTTATTTTGATGATGTTGATAGCTTTGAGGAGTACTGGCCAGCTATTCTGTAGTATGCCCCTGTGTTGGAATTTGTCATTTTTTTTCCTTATAGTTTACACTGAGAATTTGGTTTTGTTTTTTGTTTTTGTTTTAATAAGAAAGATCACAGCAGTAAAGTGATATGTTGGTCACATACAAAGTGTATATCATCACCATGATTTATGGCTGTTAGTATTGACCTTGATCACCTAGCTGAAGTAGTGTTTGTCTGGTCCCTATTGTAAAGTTTAAAGTTTAATTCCCTTGTCCCTTTATGTAATAAAACTCTTCAGAAGGAAGTCACTATATAAAAAAAACCACATGTAATGAGTGAGGAGTCATGTTCCCCTCCTTTAGGACAGAGAATCTACATAATTTATTTGGAACTTTTTGCATGGAAGATTTGTCTCATTTCTCCCATTTATTAATTTATTCAGTCACTTATATTAATTTGGACTCATGGATGTTTACTTTGTACTTTGCTTTATAATCCTCATTTACTCTGTTGTTCAAATTGTTCCATCTTTGATTTTTTTTTTTTTTTTTTTGGTACCGGGAATCAAACTCATGATCTCGTGCTTGCTAGGCAGGTGTATGTCGCTGAGCTGTATCCCCAGCCCTCCATCTTTGATCTTTAGAGAGCTCTTTCCATTGATTCCTATCTCTTTTTTACATGTTCCCATCAAGAATGGGAACATACTAACAAGCAGTTACTTTTGTAAAGTCTGGGGTATCTTATTAAACCATCATTTATCCTATCTGCTTTGTTGAAGCTGAGTTGGTGGTCTAGAGGATGATATCTATGATTTAAAAACAGAAAAGACTGGTGGATTGAGGAAGACATAGGAATGATCTGGAAGTTGAAAGAAATAAAGAATTTGGATTAGTAGAGAGAAAAATGTATTCTACATTTGAAGGAAGCAAGAAGAAAAAGATGTAGAAGTTCCATGAGGGTAGTGATTGTTTCATTCATTTTTATGTCCCTTTGTACCTGGAGTAGGGCTTGTGTATTGCAGCTGTTCAGTACATTGAGCTGAATGAAGTGCTAATGAGTAAGCTCCTTTTAACATCCGAGGTAATGTTAAGTTCATTTTAACATCCATTATTTGGGTGGACAGGAAATCACAGAAAGTTACAAATGAACTTCAAAGTCTTTAAAAGTTACTCACTTCTCCTTTTACTCATTTTCGTGCCTGTAGTACAAGACAGCAAAATACAGCTTCCAATTGTACAGCTACGTAAAGTATGGGCTGAAGCAGTACACTATGTGTCTGGGCTAAAAGAAGACTACAGCAGGCTCTTTCAGGGACAAAGAGCAGCAATGTGAGTGGATTATATTCTTTATAAGCACAGTGTCATGTTCATTGTATACTCTTGCCAGTTTTCCTTAATCAGTATTGCATGCAATACTAAAATAGTGGGCCAGTTTAAAATGTAATATTCTTATCAGACTTGTAGATTTCTTATAAATAGTTAAAACCATACATTGCTTGAAAGTAGTAGTTCCTAAATGATCATAGTATGAGAACATTGTTTATCACAGAATATCTCAAGCTGGAAGTCTTTAGAGACCAGATTCTAGAGAGCAGCTATTTTTCATAGATTAATCATAGAAACTTAGGTTTTGGGCTTCTAGAACCTTATGTTTTAAAATTTTTATTCAGTGGGTTTTTTTTTTTATTTGTTCCTGGGTTTGTTTGTTTTTTTTGTTTTGTTTTGTTTTGTTTTTGGTTTTTTTTGAGACAGGATCTTGCTGTACAGTTCAGGCTGGCCTTGAACTTGTATGTAACCCAGGCTGGCCTCAAAAAACAGTGTTCTTCCTGCCTCAGTCTCCTGAGTGCTGGGATTATAGCCATGCACCACCACACCAGGCTTATTAAGTGTTTTTGAGTCCTGATAATTTTGTTTTGTTTTGCTATGTCTTAGGTTAAGTCTTCTTAGGTACAATGCCAACTTGACAAAAATGAAGAACACTTTGATATCAGCATCGCAGCAACTGAAAGCTAAATTGGAATTTTTTCACAAAAGCATTCAGCTTGACCTGGAGAGATACAGTGAGCAGATGACTTATGGTATATGTAAGTGTCTGGGTGTGTTTTATTTGTTAGAAATGTCTACTCTTGAAGCCATCAGTTCGTTTGCCTTCTTGACATGGCCACAGTTGTTAGTTTATATTAGAACAAGAAACAGAATAGTTTATGTCATCATAAGCCCTGTGTATTTTGAATGCTAGGTCTTTTTTTTAATCTCTTAATTGAACAACTTTCAAATTTGAATAAAATTATTTAGTTCTTGAAAAGCTAAATTACACAGGAGTGAGAATCAGTGAATTTAAAATCTCATTTTAAAAATAGAAACAAAATCTATACTGGAGTGGCTTCTTGGCCAGTGCTATAGAATAAATGTTTGTTTTCCTCCAACATTGATGTTGAAATGCTGACTCCCAAGATGATATTTGAAGACAGGATTATTAGGGGATGATTAGGTCATGAACATGATGCCTTCATGAGTAAAATTAATACCCTTAGAACAGAGGTCTGAATGAGATTCCCTCGCCCTTTCTGCCATGTGAGGAAACAGTATAAAGTACACCATCTACCAATCCAAAGCAAGCCCTCGCCAGACAGTGAATTTGCCAATGCTCTGATCTTGGATTTTCTAGCTTTCAGAACTGTGTAAAATAAATTTCTGTTTTTTATATGCTACCCAGTCTAGAGTTTTTGTTTTTAATGTAGAGCTCAAGTGGACTGACTTAGTTAGGGAACTGTTGAACTACTTATTTTTCTGGAAATAATCATATAATTCCAAGGTTTTGTTTATTTCTAGACCACATACTATGAATTCTTACTGGGTTTTTTGCACACAGTTTCCACATTTTCATTATTTGACTTCAACTTTGTCTCCCTTCAGAAATACTAAGGAACTGGAACAAAGGTAAAATTTGAGTGAACTCAAAGGATCACCATCAGCATTTTTGATTTGTTTCAGAAAACTAATCATTTTTTTTTTTTTAGGAAAAAAATACTTGTTGTTACTCATCCTCAGAATAAATGGTCCAAAGTGTCCAATAAGATGAATACATTTACTCTCCAGAACAAGGGCTATGGTTGGTTTTTTATTTGTGTTTCTGCATTGTAGGCCTTCTGGTGAATCACAAAACAGTAAAATTATTTCATTAAGTATTTTTGACTTGTCAAAGGTGTTCTATACAATTATTAAAGACTGAGGTATTAAAAAATCACTTGGTCTTTGGCAGTAATATTTTAAGTTGTGGAAGAAGCAAAGAGAAGTGTGTGTATATCCTCTAACATGAGGGAATAAGGTATGTGTCTAGTAATAAATAATAACATAGTAAATAATAATAGTGCACTCTTTGGGCTATCGGATAGAGGAAAAAAGTCTTTTCTTTTTATATCCTTCAATAATGTTTAGGTTTTTAAAACATGATCATATATTACTTTTTAAAAAAAAATTTTTAAAAGAGAAAGCCACCTGTATTGCTTTCTGAGGACTTCTATAACAAAATACCATAAATTAGGTTCTTAAAACAACAGAAATTTATTGTCTTACAGTTCTGGAGGCCAAAGATCCAAAATCAAGGATCCATCTGAAACCTACAGGGAAGGCTCCTTCTTTGGTCTTTCCTAATTTTCCATTGTTTGCCAGCAGTCCTTAGTGTTCCTTGGGGCTTGGAGCTGCAGCACTTCAGCCTGTGCCTCTGTTTTCACATTTCATTCTGTACTTGTGTATCTGTATCTCTGTGTCTCTTCTTAATGGTTAAGGGCCCACCCTTCTCCAGTGTGTGTATATATTTAATTATATCAGTAAAGACCATTTCTAATAAGATGACATTCTAAGATCTTAGAGGTTACGATGTCAACATATATTTGGGGAGGGCGTCACACTTGAAACCACAACATTTTCAGTATTGATACAACAGGAGGTAGGCAGACCAGTAATTTAACCTATTGCTATTTCTGAGATAACTAACTTAGACTTTCGTTTTAGCTTCAGAAAAAATGCTGAAAGCTTGGAAAGAAATGGAAGAAAAGGCCATCCACTATGCTGAGGTAAAATTACTGAGCTTATTCTGAGTGCTTATTAATTCTTGATGTCTCCCATTGACTTTGGGTTTGATAGCTAAGGAATGTCTATAGCATCATCCCTGAATTTCAGACAGGTGTTTAATAGATGCTTTGTATAGAGGAAGGTGTCATAGTGAATTAAAACGAGGGCTTTAGGCAAATACTTAGCCTCACTGAGCTTCAGTTTCCATATTATGTTATAGGGACAATACCTTTTCTTGTAGGGTTATGGAGATTAAATAGGAATCAATAATAAATGCAAGTCCATTATTTTGGTGGCTGCTTTAAGTAAGATAGCTATATATCCTAGTTTACCTAAAACAGTCTCAATTTATCTCTGGTATCTGCAGTATTTCCTTTCACTCTCAAAATTATACTGGTATAGACAATAAATTCTATGAGTCCCATAGGAATAGACAGACTATTGTTAAGTGGGAGGTTTCTCCTTTATCCTGTGCAGCAATCCATGGTTCTGGGTTATTCTCCTTGGGCCAGCCTGAGAAATAGATAGGGCAGTTGGTGCTGAGATGCAAGTAATACCACTGGTTTTGGTGCCCTTGTATTTTTGTCTTGTTGGTGATATTTCTACACACATTTTACTTCTCCAGAAAAGCAAAAGCAAAGCTAGTAGTGTATTATTGTCAGGAGAGAAAAGAGAGTAGTGTAGGAATAACTATGTTCTTGTGTGACAGGTTCTCCGAATCTAAAGGATACAGAGGCCTTAATAAAATTAGTGTTTCATGTTAAATTAGTTCTCCTACAGCAGACCATTCTCTATCCTTAATGTCTGAGTTTTGCTTGGTATAACGTGGTAAGCTGTCATTTTCTTTGTGTTTTCATCATTCTTTAGGTTGGTGTCATTGGATACCTTGAAGATCAAATTATGTCTTTGCACACTGAAATCATGGAGCTACAGAAGAGCCCCTATGGAAGACGCCAAGGAGATCTGATGGAATCTCTGTAAGGCTGTTTTTATTTTTTGTAGCATTGTTCTTTCTGTTTATATTTAGCAAGTGAAACCTCTGTGTGGTTCTTCTTTTTTTTGAGACAAGGTCTCAGGATGTAGTTCTGGCTAGCTTTGAATTCACTGTGTAGTCCAATCTGGCCTCAAATTCATGACAGTTTTTCTGTCTCAGCTTCCTGAGTGCTGGGATTACAGGCATGTGCCACCATAGCCAGCTGTGTGGTTCTTTACTGTAGTTTTCTTTTCCCAAAATATATTCACATCATATTTTTAAAAGAAGCTATTTGTAGTTACAGGACATTCTGGAAATAATCTTTGGATTGACTGTCTTGTTTTTTGAAAAGTATCTTTTTATATGAGTGTTAAGAATTTTATAACTATATCTAAATTGCAAACTATGTCCTTACTGTATTTCTGATCCAAAGTATTGTCTCATAAGTGCCCTAATGGGGTTAACTTCCTATGTGTCTATATTAGAAATCAGAGTTTCTCTCTAATCACAAGCCATAATTTTTGATATGGCTTGTGTTTCTGATGCAAAGGTACTGTATATGTGGTGGGGAACAGAGCAGGTATGATGTATACTAAACTTTGCATTTTAAGATTATGTATTGTCTTTGCTTTTGTTCAGCAAAATGCTCTATAAAATACTGATTAGCAGCTTGTACTTGCTTTAAAAGAGAGAGGGGTCATTATTCAGATAGTTTTATTTATTTCAAGAGTCATTAATTTATCTTCACATAGAAGCATATCTTTTTCTCTTGTAGAGAACAGCGTGCTATTGATCTGTATAAGCAATTAAAGCACAGACCTACGGGTAAGTACTAAGAGATATTTTAGGAAACTCAGTAGCTGAAAATTTGGGGAAATTTTACATTTTAGATATCTTAAAGGCTGCAAAGTAAATTCCTGTTTTGGTATTGTCTTTTGGTATTGTCATTAAGACACCTAAAGTATAACAGCTTTAACTTCGTGAGAATTTAAGAGATTAGCAAGGGAAAGTAATAACAAAATACAGGTAGAAAAATTTTAAACATGGAAGTCAAAAGAAGGAATGGAAAAAAGATAAAAGGAACTCAAGAAGAGGCAGAGGATGCAGAAAGATAGGAAAAATGCTTAAGATTAGGGAGGTTGGAATGAATTTGATGCAGTGGGTTCAGGTGTGGAGTGGTGGGAAAAGGCATATGTTCTAGGTGAAAGCACTGTATCTTGAAAATTATTATCGGTACTGGTCCCTGATTGCTTCTATTGTTGGCGAAACAATTCCTGGTGAATGTCTGCTAAATGCAGAGCATGTTCTGCTGGAAAGAGCACTTGTTGGGAATCAAAACGCTTGAACTATAGATCAGATAATTTGCTGTGGGTACTTGACTGACCAGTTGATCTTGGCAAATTTCCCTGTATCTCATTTCTCTTCTTTAGAAAATGATACTGAAACATCTTTCCTAACTCAGTTAATATGTTATGGCAGTGTATGTGAGATGGTGTTTATGAAAATGCTTTGAAAACTGTAAGGTGTTATATAACTAAAAGATACTGTTATTTGGTTAAACTTTTTTGCTTTAAAGGGTTGCAGAAGTAAAATGAATTTTATGCCCTAGAATGCAATTTACTTAAATTGTTAAAAAATAAAAAAGCATTTTATGCTTTAAAATTTAAAAGCACATAACAGCATGTGTGAATTAGTAGACATATGACATGGCACTTTAAAACAACATAATTTTCTCATATATTTTTTTTTATTGCAGTGGAATTCATTTTTATTTTTGTAAACATTTATGAAGCACATGTAAATAAATACCTAACTTTGTAGGTATGGGATAGTTAGAGGTGGTTTTCTGAAGGAAGTGAGTCTTGTTTGAGCACGTGGCAGGGTCATGGAGTATAGTTTCAGGAGAGAGACATAACTGGGTTATATAGTACCTGGTATGTCATAGTAGAAGGTTTGGGTTTCATTGCAAGAGAAATGCCAAAAAAGTTTCTATCAGGAGTGGCATGAGCAGATTAGCATTTTAGAAATACTGCTGTGGTGGCACTATGGATAATGGATTAAATTGGGACTAGGCCGTAAGAGCTGTATTCATTATAAGGTTATTAGAATAGTTGTAGCTCAGTTTGGGGTAGGCTATAAACTAAAGCAGAGAGCCTGAACTCTGGCAGTGAGGTAAAGAGGAGGGAAAAGGCAAGAGAGAGATTTGGAAAGTACATCTTTTAATGTTGAGTGATAGATTGAATATGCTTAGGTGGGGAGTCATAGATACCTCCCAAATTTCTGGCTAGGGCAGCTGGTTACCTGAAAGGACCAGGCAAGTATAGGAAGGATAACAGACCTTATGGGAAAAGAATATGAGTTCAGTTTTGTACATGTTGGTATAAAAGAGTTAATGGGACATTCAAATGGACATGTCTAATTGTGTGTGTGTATGTGTGTGTGTGTGGTTGCTTTCATATATTATGTCAGTTAATATGAAAACATATAGAGAGAGGTCTGGGCTCGATATTTAGATATTGGTTGAAAAATCAGCCATAAAAGTGAAGAGATGATCTTGAAAAAGCAGGTTGAATAAGCCAAGGTTGGAATCCTAGGGAATATTAACTTATATACAACTTGAATTACAGTGAGTAGACTGCAAAAAAGATTGAGAGATGGCCAGAATATGAAGAAAAAATTATATGATAGAAATGGGATAGTTTAATGGAAAAGGTGCTCAGAAGGTGAAATCCTGCAGAGATACCGATAATGATATCAACATTAGTGAAAATATTCATTGTACTTAACAATGTGCACATTATTACAATCTTTTAGGAACAGAAATGAGATTGCAATAGGCTGATCAGGACCTGGGAGGAAATGGAGAAGTTAAGTCTAAGCGAAGAGTTCTCAAAAGTTGATACAAACCACCGAGGACCTCAAACTTTTTCAGTTTTTGAGACCCAAGAGTCTGTAGTTTGGCTGATCTTTGAAATCAGAGGCCAGATAACTAGCAATATGTAATTATTAAAGTGGTCTTCTTTGGAACAACTATTACACTTCATTATATAGTAGAAATGTTTATCACATAGAGTATTAAAAAGACATATATTCATGGGTTAATATATATATATGGGGTGGGTAGTACTGGAGATAGAAACCGCGAGTACTCTCACCACTGAGTTATGTCCCTAGCCCTGCACCTTTTGAGATAGAGTTCCACTATGTAGCTCAGGCTGGCCTTCAACTTACGATGTAGCTGCAAGTTTTTGGTAAAGTGAGGGTAATAAAAACAGCCATTCACGGGACTGCTGTGAAGGTTAAATGGAGAAATTATAACCTGGTAGTAGTATGCTGGTAGTAGTAAATTTTAGTAACAAAATTTTTTTAATTTTAAAGTGAAGAAAAATAAAATTTCAAAACAAGATAATAGGAGGGTAACAATGGTTAATACATTATATATTGTTATCTTTAAATTAGTTACTCAGAGTACAACAGATTGGCATTTAAGTGTCTGAACAATATTAGCACAAATCTTTCTTTTTAATGAACTAGAAGAAATTAGTAGCATAACTATCTTAACTATCTTTTATATATATATTTTTTTCTTTTCCCTTCTTTTCTCTATTCCGCAATCCCAGTTTCTCTTTCCTTTTGAAATTTCTTCCCATTTTACAATATCTATTGTACATTTTGGATCTTATTTACTCTTTCAGCTTCTCACAGTAGGGAGACAATACAGTGCTTGAACATGTACATCTGGTTTATTTAACTTACGTGTATGATCTCGAGTTGCATCTGTTTACCTATAAAAGTCTCCAGTTTATCCTTCTTTATGGTTAAGTAGAACTCCACTGTATAAAAATACCACATCTTTTTATCCATTCCTCGGTTGATGGGCATTTGAGCTGTTTCCAAGATCTAGCTATTACAGATTGTGCCACTGTAAACATGGGTGCACATATATTGCTGTGGTATGATGTTTTTAATTCTTTTGGGAAAATACCCAAAAGTGGAATAGTTGGATCAAATGAGACCTCCAATCCTAGTTTTTTGAGGAATCTCTACACTGATTTCCACAGTGATCACACCAGTCTACACTCTCACCAACAGTAAAGAAGGGTTTCTTTTTCCCCACAGCCTCTCCAGCATTTGTTGTTGTTTGATTTCTTGATAATAGCCATTCTTTCCCAGGTTAGATAAATTCCCAGTGTTGCTTTAATTTGCATCTCTCAAATGACCAGTAATGTTGAACATTTTTTCATATGTTTATTTGCTGTTTGTATTTCTTCATCTGAGAAGTGTGTGTTCATCTCAGATGCCCATTTTTGGCTTGGGTCTTTAAATTTGGGAGGTCTGATTTTTTGTTGTTGTTGTTCTTTATATGTTCTTAACAGTAATCCTTTGTCTGAGGAACAGACGGCAAACAGTTTTTGCCATTGTAGGTTGTCTCTTCACTTTGTTGCTGGTTTCTCTTGCTTTGCAAAAGCTTTTTAACAAGATGAGATCCCAGTTGTTGATTCTTTGTTATAGTTCCTGCGTGGTCGGGGTTTTGTTCATAAAGTCTTTACCTACACCAATGTCTTCAAGAGTTTCACTTATTCTATCATCCAGCAGATTTCATGTTTCTGTTTTAATATTTAGATCTTTGATCCATTTTGAATTTAGTTTAGTGCATGGTGAAAGATATAGGTCTATATTTAATATTCAGCATGTGCAGAGCCAGTTTTTCCAGCACCATTTATTAAAGAAGCTATCTTTCTTCCAGTGAATGTGTTTGGCACCTTTGTCAGAGATAAGATGCCTGACTATGGAGTTGTTTCTGCATCTTTAATCTGTTCCATTGATCTTTAGGGTTTTTTTTATATATATAATGCCTTCTTGTTTTTATCACAGTAGCTTTGTGATATAATTTCAAGTCAAGGCTTGTAAAGCCCCCTGCCTTACCTTTGTTGCCCAAAATTGTCTTTGCTGCTCTAGGTCTCTTCTGGTTTCAAATGAATTTTAAGATTGTTTTCTCTAATTCTGTGAGATATGCTATTGAAATCTTGATCAGAATTGTATTAAATCTGTGTAATGCCATTTTTACTATATTGGTTCTTCCTACACAAGAGCAAGGGATATCTTTCTACTTTGCGAGATCTCCTTTTGTCTGCTTTTTCAAAATATTGAAGTTTTCAATGTTGAGGTCTTTTATATTCTTCATTACATTGATTCCTAGGTATTTCATTTTTTTTGAATGCTACTGTGAGAAGTGTTTCCCTAATTTCTCTCTCAGTGAGTTTGTTTCATGTACAGGAAGCCTATTGATTTTTGAATGTTGACTTTGTATCCAGCTATGCTACTGAATTTGCTTATTAAATCTAGCAGTTTTTTAGTGGAGTTTTTGGGGTCTTCTGTGTAGAGTATCATGGCATCTGTAAATAACGATAATTTAACTTTTTCCTTTTCTTTCATTATTCCTTTTATTTCCTTCTCTTGTCTCATTGCTCTGGCTAAAGTTTCTAGGACTTTGTTGAATAAGTGTGAAGACAGTGGACTTGTTCCTGATTTTAGAGAGAAAGTTTTCAGTTTTTGTCCATTTTAGTATAATGTTGGCTTTTGGTTTGTCATAGATGGCTTTTATAAGATTGAGATAAAGACATCTGTTCCAGTTTTCTGTAGGGTTTTTCTCGTGAATGGGTGCTGGACTTTGTCAAAAGCTTTTTCTGCACCTATTGAGATGATCATATGATTTTTGTCCTTGGCTCTGTTAATACAGTATATTACATTTATTGATTTCTGTATTTTGAACCATCCGTACATCCCTGGGATGAATCCTACTTGGTCATGGTTTATAATCTTGATGGTTTGCTGCATAACAGAATTATTTTTGCATTCTGGCTTAATTATTGTCCAAGGAAAATACCAGTATGATGTATGCACAATTTTCTGGACTATAACAATTAATTCTGGTAATTGTTAAAAGCTGAGAAAGCATATCTTGTAAACTGTTCGACTCACTGTGACTGTCAACCGTCCCCTTTGAGGACATCTGTCAGCTTCCACTTGGCATTAGGATATACTCTCAGGATGTCCACAGGTTCCTTTATTAGTGCATCAGATTTAGTTTGAATTAGTTAGCTTTTTTCAAAAATTTTTGTGGGCCATAAACAGATAAACATTAAGTTCCAAACAACCTAGTTTGGGCAAGCACCTCCTCCGAGACAGTGAAAGTTGTTTTTTGTGTTTGTTTGTGACAGAGTCTCACTATGTAGCCCAGGTTGGCCTTGAACTTGCAGTGATCCTTCTCAGGCAGTGAAAGTTTGATAGCTTGTCCTGCTGTTTCTAAATAAGTAGTGTTAATCATATGAGCAAAATTGGTGTCTGGGATGGGGCTACATATTTCTGTGGGCATAGATTGATAGGATTAAAGATAGGCAAGATTGCTGTTCTAAGCACAGACAACTGGTTTTTGAAAATACAGTGATATGTGTGTGTGTGCGTGCATGTGTATGTGTGTATCCATTACATATACATACATATATGTGTACATTTACATATATGTACACATACACGAGGTGCAGTTGAAAAATAGGGTGTTTCGACTTAAGATATTATTATAGTAAAAGACACATTGCCATTAATCCCCCTCAAAATGCTCCCCCTTGCCTCAAACACACTTAACCAATCATCCTTGCCATTTTCTGAAGCAGATCTGAAAGTCCTCTTTCATATCTTTCACTGTCATGGGTGCCTAGATATCCTCAGTCAGTTCAAGACACTGGACTCTGGGGAAGAACACAATGCCAGATCTGGTGAATAAGGATGAAGACACACCGTAATGTTTTTACAAGCCTTTCCTTCTGTTTCATGGCACTCAGCAACAACATTCACTGTATTTTCATCCCACCTTCTAAAGATGTCCACCAAAGAGAACTTCCAAAAGTGCTTCAGAAACTGGCAAAAATAATGGGATAAATGTGTTCGAAGCAAGGGGCAGTATTTTGAGAGGGATTAATGGAAGTGTGTCTTTTACTGTGATAAATTTCTAAAATTTAAATATATATTTTTATCACTTTATCATTTAAATATATTTTATCACTTGCACATCTGTATATATATTATATATTATATATATTATACATAAATGCATATAACTTTGTTTATTGATATATGATTGACCATTGCACTGTATCCTTAGACTTTAAAGTTTATTTACAAGTAATCTTGAAATTTTGATCCAGTTTATAATTTAAATGGAGATGTTTATTAGCCTTTTTTCAAACTTTTAAGTTTTTGAGGAATCTTTTGTTTGGAGACTGATATGTTCTGCAAAAGAGAGGTTGTACTCATTGATTAAAGTACTTTATAGATCACTCCTACAGTGACAGCACAGAGATGGTGAAGATCATTGTGCATACTGTTCAGAGTCAAGATCGTGTTCTCAAGGAGCTGTTTGGCCATCTAAGGTAGAAAATTGTTTTATTTCCTCCTAAAAAACTTAAGTTTTTTTCAGAGTACAACCTCTTTTGGTGAGTATTCTAGACCTAAGAAGAATTCTAGCAGTATCTTGAGTAGCTTGGCCATAACTACATGTATACTGCATGCATTTATATTATCTGTTTGTGTACACTACTTTGGATATCAGTCATTAAATATAATGCTCACTGTAGTTCATTTGCCTAGCTGGGTTTTGGGAGTATGGTGTATAATCTTGATGGATATAACATGTATGTGATGCAAATTTAATCTCTCCAGCAAGCTTTTGGGCTGTAAGCAGAAGATTATTGACCTACTCCCCAAGGTAGAAGTGGCCCTCAGTAACATCAGAGAAGCTGACAATACTGTCATGTTCATGCAGGGAAAGAGGCAGAAAGAAATATGGCATCTCCTTAAAATTGCCTGTGTAAGTATTTACTAATGAATTATTTAGTATGATATTGACTTGCTGTTATTATCTGCAAAAGGGATTTTTATCAGCATGAGCTCTTTCTTGAAGATGTGTATTTTATATTAGGTTGATGCTCATGTTCTTTGCTTGGTATCTGCCTAACAGTAAAAATGCAGGACTTTTGCACTATAACTCTCCTTTTTCAGTTACTTTGCTTTTATAGTTCTGGCACTGGACCAATATGACCTGGGGAAAGATGGGGGACTAGTTAGTGAAACCAGCCCTGTGTTCAACTGGATTTTTTCCTTTCCCATCCAACTAAAGTGGCTTTAGACTAGCAAATACATTTCAGTCAATGAAGACAGGAACCAAGGACAGGATAGTTAATAATGGTGTATAAAGGTGGGAACAGTTTTGTACAGAAATACTTTATATAGAAATACAGAAATACTTTATATAGAAATACAGAAATACAATAAGGTAGTGATGAAATGTAAATCTTAGGAGTAAGGTAAACTAAATCAATAGAGGTCCTTACCTATAATCTTTTGATTTTGTTTTTCTATCAGACACAGAGTTCTGCCCGGTCACTTGTAGGATCCAGTCTAGAAGGTGCAGTAACTCCTCAGGCATCAGCATGGTTGCCTCCAACTTTAGTAGAACGTGAACATCCTCTGTCATGCGTGGTAACTCCTCAAGATGGGTGGGTTCCTTTGTAACAGTAGATAGTTGTGTTTTCAAAACAGTGGTAGGAATGAGGCAGTAGCATGTAGTGATGGAGGAGGTCTTTAGTGCCTTCACGGTTGAGTCTCAACTTCATAATAATTTTGGACAAGGTACTTGACTTTTTTAATGTGTATGTTTCTCACCTGTAAAATGAGAATTTCTTATAGAATGACTGCAAATTTGATTGGATGATATGTATAACATGTTTAAGAGGTAAATATTCAACAAATGTTACTTATAATTATTAGTTTAGTCCAGGTTCTAAGACTGTTATTGGTGTCTCAGTTTCCTTTACCCAAACTTTATTCCTTCCTTTGCTATTTCTCTATGAGAAATTATGCTGTCTTTTTGCATTTATCATTTTGGAGTCCTTGATTACCCTTTTAATAAATTATTGAGATCTACTGTATAACTTAGTATTTTTAAAATTAGACCTTTTTCAGTGCCTTAAATCAACTTTGCAAATAGTTCAAATTTGAAGTCCTGTATTTTCTTTTATTAGTTCCTACTCTTCTGCTAAAAGCTGAATGACTATCCATCTCTGTTATTTTCTCAGCATAAGATGTGCCGTATCCAGAGCCAGTGGCTCTTTGCTAGCTTGTGTATTGTCACTTTTCTCACAACTCATGGAGACCTCTACAGCACCAGCATTTCCTGGAAGTTCTGCCCATAATTAGTTTTGCAGAAGTGCAGCCATGTTACATCACTGCTCAGGAGGTCATGCAATTGCACATTCTGTACGCTACTTTTATGAGAGAAAAAGCACATGGCAGGAAGGCAAGCTGATATCAGGTATTTGATTTTTTTAAAGAAAGCAAGTTCAGGGTCTGTCTTGGCATCATTATAAATTGGCCCAAAGTAAAGCATCTACAAGTATAGCACAGATTATATAGTGTTAAGAAAATATTCTATTATCAGAGTGAAAAGAAATAAAATTTAATACATTTTTAACCTTTTGCTTTTAGTAAAGGCATTTAGGTTTTTTAGGGGATGTTATGGTTGCAAATGTTACATCTGTAGGTAATTTCCAATTAGAGGTTGTGGTTGTTGGCCAAAGTGCATCTGATAGGTATTTTTATTTTCAGATAGGAATACATTATAAAAGGAAACTGCTTTCAATTAGAACGTACCCATGGTAGGAAAACTGCTTTCAATTATACCATACCCATGGTACTTAACTACCAAGGATTAGACACTGTTAGCCTGAGTTTTTCCACCTGTTAAATAAGAGCTGAATCAGCTTAGTATTAAGCTAGTAGTGGCTGTCATCACTGGCCAAAACTGACTTTGGTAGAAGAGGCCCTGAGGGTTGGTAAATGGTGAGTATAGAGGCCATGTGGAGGGAGAAAACAGGAAGGTGGAAACCACAATTAGGATCTTCCTCAAAAATAAACTTCCAGGGATAGTTCATAGTTCTAGTCAGCTCCCCATCACATGTTCTCTTCTGCTGTTGTTAAGAATCAGCTTGCTTGTTGTCCTTTTCATCACTATTATTTGTTGTTTCCAACCACAGTTTTTCATTCTTCCTGATCTTTGCAGAAGAGATTGTACTTTTGAGTCTCCTCCTCTATATTTGTGTATGTGAATTAAGCACGTTAGTTGGTATTTTTCTACTTGTAGGGAAAAGGAAATATTCCAAAAACAGAGTGGTTTTTCATTGTCCATGCCACAAGAATCTTTTTCCCCCTAACATTTTAAGGGGGAAAATGTTATATGTTAAGTGCTACTTACATTTCAAAGAAAAGTCTGACTGAAGTTATACTAGACTTTTTTTTTCTTGTGATACTGGAGATTGAACATAGAGCTTTGTGCATGCTAGGCAAGGGCTCTATGCCTGAGCTTCATTTTCAGTTCTTTTTGTATTTTGAGACAGGCTCTCTCTAAGTTGCCTGGGCTGGCCTTGACATTTCAACTTTCTGCCTTAGCCTCCCGAGTAGCTAAGACCACATGTGTGTACCACCATGACCCATGTTATAGTGGGCTTATCATTAGAGATAGTCAGAGACAGCAGTGTGGATGAAGTAGGACTCTGCCTCTGGCGGGGAGGAATGAACACTATAGGATTTAGCCACATTGGGTGCTGGGTTGCAGCAAGGACATCGATCATCCTTATTTAGAAGACCAGAAGGTAGAGAAAATTTATATGTTCCTTTGCTGAGTTTGAAAATGCTTTGTTCTTTTATCCTACAGGGAGAGTTTAGCTCAAATGATAGAAGAAAATTTGAACTGTCTTGGCCGTTTAAGTACTATTATTCGTGAAGCAAATGAGGAACAGGGCAGTAGCATGATGGTAAGTTTTGTGTGGATGTGGGTATGTGTTTTAGGTATGTTGGGTGCAAAAGATTTAACTTTCTGTGCTGCCTTTATTTGGCATTCTGGATACATGTAGGTAATAAGAGTACTTAGAGGAAAGAACATTTGAAGAAATGTCCTCAGCCTCAAATCCCCACCTTCTTTTACTCAGGGATATGCTAAGGTTACATTTTAAATAAAAATTGACGGTACCATTTTTAGTCAGATTAAGTTTTCCTTGCAGTGTAAGCATTGAAATTGAGTAATTTGTACCATTTTGCTTCAGCGATTTTCTGCAGTAGGACTGACCTCGTACAATAACTCAACTGCAGTACCTGCTTCATATAAATGAATTTTCTTAATATATTTATAATTTGTAAAAGTGTTCATATTATTGTGTGATTACTATGAACTATTGATTTGTCAGAACTAGGAAAAACTACACTAAAATGTGTACTGAATTAATGAATACTACATTTAATCTCAGTGTCAACTCTGTATTTCTTTTTTTTTTTTTTTTTTTTTTTTTTTTTGGTTTTTCTCCGGTACCGGGAACCGAACTCACGACCTTGCACTTGCCAGGCAGGCGCTTTTGCCGCTGAGCTAAATCCCCAGCCCCTTGTATTTCTACTTTAAGAATAATTATTTACTTCAAATTTCTATGAAAACTTTGAAGTGCTTTTTGAAATTAGCAGAAAATAAAGTGAGCAAAACTCTCAAATTGTAATTTGTGTATTTTTTATTTTGTTTGTTTGTTTGTTTGTTTGTTTTTTTCCGGTACCGGGAACCGAACTCACGACCTTGCGCTTGCCAGGCAGGCGCTTTGCCGCTGAGCTAAATCCCCAGCCCCCTGTATTTTTTATTTTTCAACTTTAGGTTTTTTGGTTTTTGTTTTGGTGAGACAGGGTTTCACTAGGTAGTTCAGACTGGCCTTGAACTCACTGTATAGCTCAAGGTAGCCTCAGAATCACAGCAGTCCTCTGCCTCAGCTTGCCAAGTGCTGGGATTACAGGTGTGTGCCACTATGCCCAGCTGAATTTCTGATATAAAATGTCCAGATATACAAAAATGAACACCATTTACCACTTATAGTCAACTTCTAATTGTGACTTTTTCATGCCTGGTTTTAGAATCTTGATTGGAGTTGGTTAACTGAATGACTTGCCACTTGTTCACTGTCCTCAAACCTGTGGAAGTTGTTGCTGCAAATGTTGGAAATTTGTTTTTCCTTCATGAAACCATTCTTCACATACCAGTCAATGGAAGAAATGGCTATACTCAGAAACTATGTATGTCTTTACTCTTGATTTTGAGTAATTTTTACCTCCAAACAGATAGGATCTTATGAAAAGTCAGTGGACTTGTTTAAATATTTGTTTAAATATTGCAACTACTGAGGAGCATCACTGTGGCCCATATGTTTTCAGACTTGGTAAAACATTACTTATTTACCTGACTTAAAATACCTTCTAAAGTTTTAACTTTTAGGCATAAAGCCAAACATAGTATTGTATACAGAGAAAAAAAAGTCACTTAAGTAAATGTTGCCTATCTGTGTTTTTACGGAAGAGACTGCCCATAACTGAAATTGTACTTCTTCAAGAATAAATCCTACCTCCTTATGTTGTACTCAGCAGGGCTCTTCCTGGCATCATAAGGAGTTGGCTTAATTCTATTTTATTTTTATGGCACATTTAATGCCCTTCTCACAGAAGGTATTGTGCATCTGTGCCTTCAATTCCAACTGATTGTCGTAAATCATGTGTGCTATATTTGTGTATGTATTTAAGATGTACATTTAATAATATCAAAGAAAAAGATGTCTGTTAATTTATAATGTGTTTGATAGCTTTTGTGTTTTTTCATTTGTAAAAAAGGATCATTTGTTTAAATAGGTTTTTTGTCTTACCATACAAGCTTATAAAGATCTGCATTCCTTTAACTGTTATTGTAATTTCAAAATCCAGGAAGTTATGAAAACAAAGTTTTCATAAGCTTGATGACAAAATTTCTTTATATATCTAAACTGACAATCTGTTTATCCCATTGTGTGTGAATATTCCTTTATTTTGCTGCGTAAATATTAACATGTTTGATTACTGGGGAGGGTGTGCTACCACATTTTTTAAGGATTAATGTAGCATGGTATATGCACCAAATTACCTGTCTAAAAATCTAAAACATTCTAAAACATCTGTCCCCAAAGCTTTCAGATAATGCACTGTGGATCTCTTATCTTTTGTTAAATAATTTAGAAGGTATTATTTGTCTAAAAAATGTGAAATGCTTTTATATTCTAGTTTTTCACTTTATGTATTAAATGATTTTTAAATTATACTTTGAATCTCTATTCATTATAAAAACCAGATTATAATACAACAGTTCAATATGGCTTGGGACAATATGAAAGTTCATGAAGTAGAACCAGAGCACAAAATAACGTAGTAGGTTATCCCTGGCTTTGTTATTGTGGCAGTGATTGTTCACAGTACTGAAGACTAAACCCAGGACTCTTTCACTGACATACATTGCCAGACCCTTTTTAAAATTTTTATATTTTGAGATAGGGTCTAACTAGTTGCCCTAGCTGGGCTCAAACTTGGTGATCTTCCAGCCTTAGCTTCCCAGAGTGCTGGGATTACTGACACATGCCACCACATCTGGCATCCGTGTATGTGCTTTAGGAATTAAATAGGACTTACGGTAAGGTAAGTATTGGGCATCTTCATTATGTAGTCTTTTCTGAGATGAGATGTCTTATCTCCACTATATGTGTATAAAAATCATGTTTAGATGGTTCAGATCTTGCCCTATAAACTGATGCCATCATCTCACCAGCCCTGTTTTTGCTAGTGCTGTCATTTTTCCAGTCACTTATGTTTGAAACCTTGGAGTAGCCTATCTTTTTTGATCATCAAGTATCACTGTTTTGGGGCTGGGGATTTAGCTCAGTGGCACAGTGCCTGCCTAGCAAGTGCAAGGTCGTGAGTTCGATTCCTGGTACCAGGAAAAAAAACCAAAAAACAAAACCATAAAAAAGTATCACTGTTTCTCTGCAGAAAGCAGTCTGTATCTTGCTTCCCTAGTTTTTAGAAGGTTTTATTTATTTGTACTGCAGGAGACTGAATCCAGAGCTTCATGTACACTAGGCAGGTGCTTTCCATTCAGCTACATCTGCAGCTCTCTAGGTTTTAAAAATAAACATTTATTGGTATCTATTCTTCAGGAGATAGTAATCTAGGTGGCAAGACGAGAAACAATACAGGCAGTACAATAAAAGTGTTCACCTGGTGGTCTGAATGAACCTTGCAGGTCATCTAAGTATTGTAATTATTGTTCAGGAATTTTTTTTTTTTGTCAGTCGTGCATTTTCTGAATATCATTGTAATAACTGATAAGAATTTTGCTACATTGTGGGGTCCACTTTGATAGTGTGTGACTGCGGTGATGTCAGGGCAGCCTGATCTATGATTTGGACAGGAAGTATGAGTCAGTACAGACTGTTACAGTGAAATCAGCCCAAACCTGTTTCTGATACGTGAGTGCACTGTTCACTTTTTGTTGGGTAACAGCTTTTCAGAGTTGAAGTTGTGAATTGTATACTACATTTCTTTACTTAATCCAAGCATTATTGCGATATACTTAGAATATATATCCAGAAAACACAGGGGCTAGCAAGTTCTTCTTCTTCTTTTTTTTTTTTTTTTTTTGAAAGTTAGAATAGCTAAGCTCTACAAAGATTTACTTGGAACAGATAAAGTCCCACACAGTCCTAAGCAATAAAATCAAATGAGTGATACAGGTAAGTACATTTATTGAAGGGAGTGCTAGAGTGATCTGGCAAGACTTGCTTTAATGAAGATTTAAAGTGATTCTATTTGCATCTTTTCATTTCCACTGCTCCTCTGATTATAACCTGGGGCCTGCACTTTTGTAACCACCTGACTTCCTGTACCCACTGTGTCTCCACTTTCAGCCATTTTGCATATTCACTGGCCCTAAAGCACTGCTTTCCCATATTTCCCTGCCCAAGAGATTAAAGAACCTTCCAACACTCGTCCACTTTGTCAAGTTGTAGTCCTACCACTACTACCTTCCAAGGCGTACACCATTTCAGCCCAATGTACTCAACTATCATGTCCTTTTTTCCCTTGTATTCATCCATCTCCAACATGTATCCTGTTCCCTTTTTATTTTTGGTAATACATGCGCATGGTGCAGAATTTTTGTTACGGTTTAGATCTAAAATGTGCTCCAAAAGTCTCACATGTTCAGAATTGGGGCTTTCAGAACGTGATTGAATCATGAGATTGCTAACCTCATCCATTAATGAGTTCATAGCTGAATGGGCTATTAGGTAGGCTCAGTTGCAGGAGGTGGATCAAGAGAGGGGCAGTGTTCCTTTGGAGGGTATCACTCTTGCTCTGGCTATCTTGCTTGCCTGCCATAGGTTGGGCGGCTTTCTTCTGCAGTATCCTTCCATGCCATGTCCTTTCTCCTTTGGAGCCAGCCAGTCAGCCGTGGACTAAAACTTGAAACCCTGTGCCAAATTGAACCTTTCCTTTAAGTTACCGGTGTCAGGTATTTTGTCCCAGGGATGGAAAAGTGACTAAGACAATTTTTAAAGAACTGAAGAATATGTAGTGAAAAATCTTTTCTTCTGTCCTCTAGCCATCCAGTTCACCTACCAGCAGAACAGTGCCCTGCAGATTTTCTATCTCTGGCCCTAGCCTATCAACCACTCCTTCCCAATGCCAAAGGCTTTGAGGAAACTCAGTTTACTGTTCGCTCCCTGGAGGACAGTACACAGACACAGACACAGACACACACACACACACACACACACACACATACACATACACACACACACGAGTCCTCACATGGTTAGCTCATTCTGTTTCTGTTTTCTGGAGGACCTTCATAAAGCCTCTTGTTTCAGAATTCTGACACATAATAATAAAAAAAAAAAAAAAGTCAATGATGGTACAGTTGGATTGAATAGCTTTCTCTTCTGAACTTGCATAGCACTTTTCCTTGCAACAAGCCAGGCTGTTCCTGAAGTACAGGCTCTGTGCCTGAAGCATAAGACTGCATAGTTACTGCACACTAAGGGTTCAGCATAAGACTCAAAAGGATAAATAAAAGGAGTGGCTACCACATTGAGAGTGAAAAAGTGAGTTCTTTGTACCAGAACAAACTGATCTGTCCCCTGTCCCAACCGGCCCTCTCTTTTCCTCTGCCTCCTTTTTTTACTATCGACTTTCCTCCACTGGAGCAACTGATAAGTGCCCAGAGGAACAGCGAAGCGTGCTCTCAACCGTGCGCGGTCGTGTGCCGGGGAGAATTTTGTCCCGTCCGCACCCCGTCTCCTGGAGGGCGGGAGGGGCACGCTGCGTCTGTGCGCGTCCATCCGCGCGCAGCCGCAGTGCTGGGCGAGTGGGCGGGGCCGGCGGCTGGCGGCTGTTGGAGCGGCCAGGCCGGAGAGGTGGCTGCACGTGCGGGCGGAGGCGATGCGTCACTGATCGGTGAGGCGCGGCGGCGGAGGGGTCTGCCTCCCTCCGGTGCCTGTGGCTGAGCCCCTCCTCTGTTCCTTCTATCCGGGTAGGGACGGTTGGACAGAGGGCATCACGACGCTTACCATGCGGGCGCGGACCGAGCGGGCAGAGGGGCTGGCGAGGGGAACGTGGGCTCCGCAGGAGCGAAGAATGAGGGGCGAAGAATGAGGGGCGAAGAGGGCAGGCTTCCCCGGCTCGGCCTGGGAGAGGGCTGCAGGTCTTGCAGAGGGAAAGGGTGGAACGGGCGGGTTTGTCACTCACTGGAACTGAGAGTCCTTTCCTCCCTCACCCAGGAGGAACAAGGATGAACATGACTCAAGCCCGGGTTCTGGTGGCCGCAGTGGTGGGGCTGGTAGTTGTCCTCCTCTACGCTTCCATACACAAGATCGAGGAAGGACACCTGGCTGTGTACTACAGGTGAGCGACAGGTGCAGTCAGCCCTGGCTCTAGAGCAGATGGAGCGGGTATCCCCGTCAGTGTGGTGCCTTGGGAAGTTGCTGCCTGCGCGGCGCCCTAGAGGCACTCCCTAGCCCTCGGGAAGGCTGAGCGCTGAGGAGGCTTTTGCGGAGCGAGCTGCGGGTTTTGGACGGTCTTTCTGCACAGGTTAAGACTCCTTAGGAGGGAAGGAAGCGGTCACTGTAACTGAAGAGACGGACAAATCACTTAGAGTTTGTACACGCTTTTATTTTGCCACTGTAAATGCTCTTGAGGAAATGTGGTCCCGTGCTCGCTTCAACAGCACATAAGATAAAATAGGAAATGTCCTATTCATGAACTTGCTTTAGATTTTTCTCATTAAAAACTTGCCAGTGTCTGATTCTGTCTTATAAACTCTTGGTGACCGTGACAGTCTTTACACCTTCAGGGTCCATAAGCACAACAGTAATGGGGCCACCCTTCTTCCTGTTTCTTTCCAAGTAGAGAGATGGTATGGGATGTGTGGCTGTCTGGTTGAGCTGGCATACCTTTTCCTTCAACATGAATACCACAGGTTCTTTTCTATACAGACTAGTGAAAGAGAAGCAAATTTGCAGAGAATCTGAAATAGTGGTATATTCAAAAAGAGCTTCAGTTTTTTACTTGTTTCCATAGCTCTCAAAACTTTTTGCGTTCAGATCCATCGTGAATGCTAGAAAAAAAGTAATTTTAGTGATATGTCTTAGCAGGTGAAAGTCCAGCATAATAAATGACAGTTTAGTCCAGATTTCTGTTCAGTTTGGCATTGTCTTTTGACAGTAAAACCAAGGAAGGATGATTTCAAGATACGGCTCTCAAAGAAGTATTAATGAATCTAAAACAGTTCATCTTTTATTAGATCATATGACTTATTTATAAGCCTATTTATGTTTTCAGGACAAAAAGTTAAATTGTCTGAATTTCTTATTCACTGTGTGAAATAGAACTTTTCGTTTGCTCCCAGGTTACCTCCTTTTTATAATTTACAGGCTGTGCTTTCATAGTTCTCATATTCTAAAATTTAATGAACAAGTCCATATATTATCTATTTGTAATATCAATCTCTTACTTTTCATCTTTCCGTGCTAATTTTTTGTTGTTTTTATACTAAAAATATGTTCCTGGTATTTTGATTATCTTGCAGATAGATTAAAAGAATCATGAATCTCAGAAATTTTTCCTTTCCTTGAAAGTTTACCTTGTCTTTTTTTCCAACCCAGTGATTAAATGGATAATGCTCTGGCTTGTCTCTCATTATGTGCATTAAATTATTCAACTGGGAGTCTTTAGAATTTTTTCCCCAAATGTTTCTCAGGAGGTTTAAAGATGAAGGAGAATCCTTTGAACGTGAGACCCAGAAGTATAGTTAGTTGAGCTTATGAAACAAGCTGTAACATCAGCAGTTCAGTTTGATCTTTTCAAAATTTTTAGGTGTGTTAGCTACTCTAAGGAGCAGTTGTTCCTTATCAGTAACTCCTGTTGGAGAGGCTGTAATAGTTTAGACAGTAATGGCAAACCTTATAGAGCTCTCAGTGATACAAACATTCTGCTGTGGCACACATGCCATAGGTTTGCAACCACTGGTTTAGAGGATGAGTAAGAGTGCATATTGATTATAATATTTTAGATTAGGAAAGAGAATTTCTCTCTTTATAATTTTGTCAAATTGAAACATCTTTTTTGCAGGGGAGGAGCTTTACTAACTAGCCCCAGTGGACCAGGCTATCATATCATGTTGCCTTTTATTACTACGTTCAGATCTGTGCAGGTGAGTGACTCCTAGGGATTCCTGATAGACAGGTGTAACAGGAGTTACCACACTACTGGGTGGAAACGGATTTTCTTATTGCTTAAGCATATGTTAGTACTTATTTAAATGGAAGAGATAAGTTTGGAGTACAGTTGTCATAGCACAACTTAATGATTTAGAACCACCTCACTATCTTCAAGAAAATTAGAAGTATGAGCTAGGCAGTATGAAAGGACTAACTACCCCTATATCAGGCAGATTTTCTGTTTCTACTATCACAATAAAAACAGGAATTAGGACTACCACTAGAAATAAAAACCAGTGATTACTTGGTTTAGAATACTGTTTTGTTTCCATAGAGGTATGCTCCTTGGCTACTGTTAACATGGAGGATCTGAAATTTTATACAGTGTTCCTGCCTCACAATTTTTTGCCTGGTATATTAAATACAATGTTACATGGTACCTTAGTGATGTGATACTTCGACATCATTTCAGAATATTTGCAATAAGTGTCTCATTAAAAAGAATGTCTTGGCCTTGGAAGACACTTAATAAATATGTTTTGACATAGCAGGATGATAAAAATATGATTAAGCTATGATTACCTTTGCAAATTCAGTGTGATTGTAAGTCTTTGGATTCACATTTATCTACCATCTGCTGTTAATTTTTCAGCAATTAAAAAAACTTGATGTTATTTAATCTTACAATTTTAATTCTAAGCTTCCTGCTAAATGGGAGCTTAATTATTAATAGCTAAATCCCTCCAGATTTCCTTACAGTTCCCCTTTTAAATGACTTTTAAAAATGTATCTATTGAAATGAAATATACTGTTCTCCAAATAACACTGATTTCCCTATTTCTTTTCCATTCATTCTTACCATGGTTAATGCTGTTGCTTCTTTACTCGTCCTCTCTCCCTCTATTCTTTCTGTCCTGTCTAAACTTTACCAGCCTTTTTATGACTCATCCCAGATTCCTTCTCTTCTGATCCATATCTCTTAAACTCTGTATTAGTTTTGGCCTTTGTTCTTATTTAGTAATGTTGTCTTGTATTGTTCTCTAAGTTTCTGTGTGTGTGTGTTCCAGAAAATCTCTAATCTTCTCAAAGGCAAGAATTGTAACATATTCTAGCAAAAAAACATTTGATATAGTGAACACTGGGAGTTTGCTCTGCATTAGTTGTATGACTTTGATAAAATCACTTCATTGTTGGAGACTTTGGATATTCCTACGTGAAAGAAGAAATTATAATCACTTGACCTCACTACCAGCTTAAGCAGTCTATAATGATGTTAGCAACAGCATCATCTGATGTTTAGAGATTAGGGGCTTGTTTAGATCTTGTTTAAAGCCAGGTATGTCTGCCTCTGCTTTCTTGAAGCTTAGTATGTTAAGTAATACTGATGCAGAGATATATAAAGAAGACACAGACATAATACTAAACAGGTTTTAGAGCTTAATTATATGTGTAACAAATACATTGTACTTGTAATATAGTGATAAGCTATCATACTTAGATGCAAATGAAATTAATATAAAGATTTAATCAATTAGTATACTTTGCATCTACAAAATATTAAATACTAGAGCCAGTGTAACTAAATAGAATGTTCTTTATATGTGACATAATAACATTTTAAGAAAAATTAGATTAATGAAATTCTCTAAAGAAAGTGCTCTTATTAGCATAAGACATAAAAAATTCATTTCTAGGAATTTTTGGAGCATGTTAGAAGATAACATCCCTATTTAAAGAAATGGTTTAACAAACTTAACAATTCAAGGGAATACATGTGAATGTGAAATCCTATATGTGGTGTATAAAAAACAAAGCTTAAGGAAATTATATGAAAACTTAGAATCTTTAAAATACATAAAATAAAAATAGACTCGCATTATGTATGTGTCTGTGTTTGGTACTGGGGATTGAACTCAGAGCCTTTGCACAGAGTTACATCCCCAGCCCTTTTTCATTTCTATTTTGAGGCAAGATCTCTCTATGTTGCCAAGGCTATGCTCAAATTTGCTATCCTCCTCTGCTAGCCTCCCAAAGCTCTGAGATGACAGGTGTGCGCTACCACACCCTGCTTAGACTCACAAAATAAATACTCTGTCATAATCAGAAGATGCTTTTTATGAGTAAAAAGGACCATAAAAGTAAAGATAGGACATTAAACATTTGACATCAGACTCCTAGTTCTTCTAAGTTTCAAACTGGCTAGGGAATATCCTTTAGGCTTAAATAGGAATATATATATTTTACTTCAAGTTGATGTGGACTATGGAAATTGAATTAACATATTGAAAGAAAATAAGTTGAATTCATCTCTTCATCAGCTCTCTTCATTTTACCTAAGAATTTCTGTAACATTTACCATTGCCCTAATTTCTCAATCCAAGACTTATGTTTTATTCTTTTTTGTCTTGGAATTTTACATCCACCAAGCACCTCCTTCCACTATTATGTATTGACAGCTTCCAGTTTTCATGGCCTTTACAAAATTAACCTAAGTAATGATCCTGTAACTTACCAGCTGATTTTCTTGCCTTCAGATAAGATGAATAATGAGAACCACATCACATATAAGTAAAAGAAATAAGCAAAAAACTTTTTTTTTTCTTTTTTCCTTGGAGTGCTAAAGATTGAGCCCAGGGTGTTGTGCTTGCTAGCAAGTACTCTACCACTGAGTCACATCCCTAGCCTGACATTTTATTTTTTGAAAGATTCAAATTTCATGACTGTATATAAGATGAACTAAAGATCTCATATGCCCTAACCGACATTCAGCGTTCTCTACCTGATGTTGTACTGTTTTCTTAGAATTCACCACTTGTCTGAACTGTGCCTTCTACTTCAGGCAACCTGATCTGCATATACATAATATGTCTTCAGCTTTATGTGTTAGAGTGGACATTTATTGAACATAAGACATACTTCTGCCTACTCTCTTATTTCCCCTCTATAAATCTAACTTATACTTTAGAAACCTTTTAAGGCTATTTTATTCCCTGTAATTTTACTGGTTCCCTGTCATTTAACTCCTAACAGTTTAGTTTACATTATTTTGTACCTGTTGATGCATTGCTTTATGAGAATTTTATCTCTTATGCTGGATTGTAACTTTTTTGAAAACAGGGACCATGCTTCCTTTTTCTGTTTCATAAAGTATGCTACTGTGTGCTTGTTAAGTGCAGTGTATCCAGAACATGCTCATTAGGGTGAGCTCTTTGAAGCTTTTAGAGTGCAGTAAAAAGTTATTCTAGATTCAAACAAAGGTGTGTCATGGCAAAACAGTTAAGAACTAGATTGTTCTTAATTGTAGGAGAAAGCAGTACTGGTATTGACACTTGTATTAAAAAGAAAACTGAAAGAGCAAATGAGAGATCACTAGGTCCTGAACTAAAATACTGACTATAGCTTTGGAGAAGAAAGTTTGTTGTTGAGTTCAAGGGCAGCTTTGAGTCATAGGGCACTTGTATGCATAAAATAGTTACCCTTTATCTTTAGTGTAAACAGTAATATTAGCCGGGGATTCAAAGTTCAGAACAGAAATCCTAGTCATGATATCCTTGTGGGTGAGCTATTAGTTTGCAATCCCAGGCCAACTCCAGACAAATAAAGGACTCCTTAGAAAGTATTTTCTACTTACTAGCAGATTGAATATTGACTCTTTTCTAGTGCATTTTTATTCATAACAGCTATAAAATATTTTGTCTGAAGTCTCATTTCTACTAGGAGATAAAAAGAAATGACTACTGTGAAAGCTAATCTTTGGGGAACTAAAATTGTAATGGAGCACTCCTGTATTTACTCTCAGCAGCTCTCCAGAGGTTTGCCTCTGGGACCAGCAGTTCTTTGACAATATGTATCCTGAGGTTTGATGAGCTATTTTTTCTTCCTCAGACAACACTACAAACTGATGAAGTTAAAAATGTGCCTTGTGGAACAAGGTAAGGTTTCTTTTTGCTGACCAACCTCTCTATAGTTCAGATGGATTTTCTGTTCTTAAACTTGTGATCACTTAGACATTTTCACATAGACATGACAGTAACAGAGGAATTTCAAATCTGAGTATCTGAGCAAAGAGCAAGGCCTATCTCCAGATAGGAGTTTTCCATCTTAGGAACCAGTAAAGCATTATTAAAATAGAAAAAGTAGAGTTTTAGAACCAGCAGACCTAACTTTGTATATCAGCAGCCCATATCTGCTTTAATGACTACTTTTAATATACTTTATTTTTTGGAGCAGTTTTAGGTTTGTGGCAAAATTGAATACAAAGTACAGAGAGTTTTCATATACCCCTTATCCCCACTACACACACAAATGCTTTTATTAACTTTTCTGTGTTTGGTGCCAACATTTGTAAAAATCAGGCATAGTAATAGGACATACACTGCAGGGTTAATGTAAAGATCAGAATTAGTGTACAGATGTTCCTCATTTAATGACTTTCCCATTTGGTGACTGGACTTACGACCAAGTTGTGCTATTCAGGTTTAAAACACACCACTCAGATTTACAACCTGTGTTTTTTTGGGAGGACGGGGTACAGTTCTGTATATCTTGTTTATAGAACTTCATTGTCTTTTTTTATACAGTACAACTTGTTCTTACAGTACTGTAATTTTTGTTCATTGTACTGCGCAGTACTAAAGTTTTATGTTGTCTTATACATTACAGTACTGCATGTAGGAGTTATATAAATAAAACCAGAGTCATCAAATTGGAGTTTCCTTTGACCATTTCTTTGTTCTGAATGTAGTAATATGCATACTATATACAATTCCTCATTTAGCGACCAATTCATTTAATGACCTAGTTGCCAGGCCAGAACTCAGTCATTAAAGGAAGAATGTCTGCATATAAAGTACCTACCAAGTGCTTGGTCCAGAATAGTTGCTTGATAAAAGCAAGTGTAAAAACCCACCTCTTTCTGATCTGTAGTGTTAAATGCCATCTAATTTAGAGTTTAATTCAGTAGGTCTGGCATAAGCCCTGAGAATTTGCATTTCTAAGAAAAATTTCTGGGTGATGTTGATACTACTGATCTTAAGACCTCACTTTGAGAATTGCTGCCCTAAAGAGGTTTAGGGAAGAAAGGCAAGCAAGGCGTAAGTTATTTCTACAATATACTCACTATATTGAATTATATTAAATTAAAAATGTGAAGTTCATAGTACTTTTTAAATTATCGATTTTAAATGACCTAAAACATTATTAGTCTACAGTTTCAGTAGGTTCAGTCCATGATTGGCCAGCTGCAAAGTAGAAACAGTGACGGAGGTGCCTGGTAGAGGAGTAGCTGCCCATGTCATGGCAGCCAGGAAGCAGAAAGAGAGGGGAGGGGCCAAAGACAAGAACATATCCTTCCAAATCATGCCCCCAACGATCCACTTCTCCCAACCAGGCCCAACCTGTGAACATGAGACTGTGGGGAACACTTTAGATCTAAACCATAACAAGATACTTTTTGAAAAAGGACCAAACTTTCCATGTTTAAGTTAATATATATTTATCACATTCTCCCTATCTGTAGCTCTTCTATGGATTCCCTTTACTGGCTCACACTTTTCTCATTTGTTTGTTTTTAGTGGTGGCGTCATGATCTATATTGACCGAATAGAAGTAGTTAATATGTTGGCTCCTTATGCAGGTATGTTACCCTCTATTCTGTTGTTTTTATAGTTGTAACCAGAATATTTATAAATGAGAGATTCCCCAAGGAATAGGAAGATAGTTTTAAAGTTTTATAACCTCATTGATTACTGATAAATATAAAGGAATAATCATTGGAACATTTTTTATTTCTAGAGAATGGAGTTAGAAATAATGCATGAATTCTAGAGAGAATTAACTTACTGCAACTTTATGAGTTAGTCTTCTCTAGGCTTAGTGTTTCTGTGAGCACTGTAGTTATTATTTTTACAGTGAAAAAGTAACATTTTATCCAGTCAGGATGAAAGATAATTTCCTTTCATGTTAAAAATCTGTCGCTGATAAATTCCTTGGATCACACTGATTTGTTACCATAAAGAAGTCTTTCCTGTGTAGAGAGTTGCTGTAAGTTGAGGAATAAAGTCCTCAGTGTGTGGAAACATTTTCTTAGTAAGAAATGAAAACCGGTTCCCGGTACCAGAGAAAAACCAAAAAAAAAAAAAAAAAAAAAAAAAAAAAGAAATGAAAACCCACAGACATATGGGATCAGTATTTAATTCAAAAACTGAAATTGCAACTTTTGAAGAAGATAAGCCATTTTATCTTGTCCTGGTAGTATGTAGGGGGCAGTGTGTTTGTCAAGAACAACTGAAAAAGGTGAAATTACAGGCTTTACTTTCAAGGGGTTTTTATTTTACTTGAGCAGATTTGATACAGACTGAAAAAAGAGTTACATTAGAATGTAAGGTCATGCCAAATTTCACATCACTGGTACAGAGCACAAGTAGTGAACAGGTTTCAGAGCAGAGAGCAGCATATGTGTTACTGTTGAGTGGATTTGAATCATATTTTTTTAGAGTTTGTTTTCCATATCTTTTTCACCTGCAGTTGGCCCTTCGTATCTATGGGTTCCCCATCCACAGATTCAACCACACATCAAAAATATTCAGGAAAAAAATTACATTTACAACTAAAAATGTGCAGACTTTTTTCCTTATCATTATTCCCTAAACAATACAGTATAACAACTGTTTACATAGTATTTATATTGTGCTAGGTCTTACACGTCATCAAGAATTGATTTAAAGTGTATGAGAATATGTGTATAGTTTATATGCCATTTTATGTAAGAGACTTAAGAATTTGTGGACTTTGGTATCTCCCTGGGTTGTTGAAACCAATTTTCCATGGATAAAATGGGACAGACTGTTGTTTCCCTGTTCATAAATTGTGAAAATGGATTATGATTGAAAATGGAGAAAGAAAAAACTTTTCATCAGAGAAAAGAGGACATTGTTAGATCACCAATCTATTGAAAGCGATCAAGCCAAATGATTTACCTAGCAATTATTTGTTGATGACCTTTCCATGAAATGTGATCTGGAATCAAGTTGCATCAATCTAATGTCCAAACAGCAAGGCCAGTGGAGCATATTCTGGTGTCTGAAGACAAAACACAGAAAACAACGAGTTTTAGTAATTAGAACACACCCTGGAGTGGTCTAGTATGTACCTCTTGGGACATTTATGAAATGTTTTGCTTCTGTGTTTCCAAATATGAAAATTTAGGAGATGTTTTTGTTGAAGATGAGTGCTCATGTATGTAGACTGCCTGACATAAAGTCTAGTCCAGGATGTGTTAGCTCCTTCCCCTTCTAGCCTAGTATCTTTTTTTTATGGCCTTTAAAAGCTACCTTTTTAAAGAAATGCTCTTTTCCAGCTGCTTCCCTCTTGGATTCTCACTGTTCCTCAATTAGTTTAGTCTCTCTTTACCTCTCAGCTAAAGTTTTGCTTCTCAGTAATTGCCTTAACATTTTCACTGCCTCTGCTCTCTATACTTCTCAGTTCATCTACACTGCTATCAGAGAATAGATCTATGTCATGCCCTTACTTGAAAACTTTGATAGTTCTTTATTTACTCCAAAACAGTACATACTTTCCTTAGCATGGAGTTTGAAGTTTGCACATTAGGATTGTGAATGCAAGACTATCTGGAAAATTGAGCCCAAGGAACTCATCAAGGTTTATGAGTTGTGTTTTATATTTTCACTATTTTGTTTATACTTTTACTGGTGTGTAAGATACCACTCTAACTTTTATCCTAAATGAATTCAAAGATACCTGAGTCATTGTTGGGTAAAAGAGACATGGGTTGTACCTCTCTTCCAGTGTTTGATATTGTAAGGAACTATACTGCAGATTATGACAAGACCTTAATCTTCAATAAAATCCACCATGAGCTGAACCAGTTTTGCAGTGCCCACACACTTCAAGAAGTTTACATTGAATTGTTTGGTGAGTCTCTTATTTAAATATGTCAATTGTTAGAAATCTTATTGAGCTCTTTTACTGGTGCTATAATAATACTATGTGCTATTTGAATGTTTCTTCTGAATTTATAATAGAGTAATTGTCTTAAAATACTTTTATCTCAAGTTATAATTTCTTATATAACTTTGTGGAGGTTAGAAAAACTTTATTCTGGTTTTGCTGTGATTACTTACTGGTAATTAGCCTTGATGCTATTTTAATAGATTGTTTGAAGAAATTTAAAAGTCTGTGTTTGGGGCTTCCCAGGATCCAGCTCCATGTTCAAGATTTGGTTAGAGGACTAGCAAGATTTAACATACAGTTGTATTTATAGCTAGGACTATTATAGCCAAAGGCTACAAAACAAAACCAGGAAACGGGATATGGATGAAACCAATAGGAAACCAAATACAGGCTTCCAAGAGTCCTCTCACAGTGGAATTGCAAAGTATGTGCTTGATTTGCCCAGTAACAACTCGTGATGACACGTGTGAACTATTGTCTACCAAGGAAGCTCATTGGAGACTCAGTACCCAGGGCTTTTACTAGGGGCTGGTCATATAGGCACCCTCTACTTAGCATGTACCAAACTTCCAGGCTTACAGATGGATACGTATTCAGCATAACTACATTGTTTGTATAAACAGTTCAGCTATAGTGAGCCACTAGTATCAGTTCTGAAGATGGTGGAAACACTCCCCAAATCCAAGTTCCCAGGTACCAAACAACAGCCAGTTTACAAGCAAGTTTTCCTAAGATCACAGTCTGAGGCCTGCTATGTTAACTTTCTTCTTCACAAGTTTCATTTCTGGTAAAGATCTGACCAAGGAATGGATTGTTGCCATTGGTTGCTCACTTATAATCCCTCCTGGAATTTTTAGTGAATTAAAGGGAGGCATAAGAATGGTTCATCACTTCAAAACCCACCAATTGATTCCTCTTTGATAATTGATAATCACTGTAGTGGCGTGTGAGGAAACAGATTTTTCTTGATTTGTCACATCACTCATCATTTTAATAATGATGAAAATATCATTGAAGTGAATCAAAAATTCATGGGTTACAAGACCAAGTGAAATGACAGCATCTTCACTATTCATTTTGTATATGCTTCAAAGACTTTCCTATGAACTTTTTCTTTCTTTTTAAATCTATGATAATAATAAGGCAGAGGTTGACAGGAATGAAATGTAGTTATTTTGGAATTTGAGTAAAGATTGACAGTAAGAATTTGCTTTTTTTATGAGACTCAGGATACATATTATGAGCCCCAAATTAAGATGCTAAAATTCTAGATTCTTTGCTTATTGAATAAACTGATTTTATACAATAAATAAGTTTATCCAAAGTTCAGTTAAATAAGTTTATTAGATAAACTGTTGGGGATAAACTTAATAAAGCTGCTTGTCATCTCCCTCTTAGATAATTTCTTACACTTCCACACGAAAGAAAAACTGCTTCATATGTCTTACATATGAGAGAGTGTATCCTTATAAAAGTATAATACTGTGAAAACTTTGTATCTCATACTGACTGGCTTTGTTTTGATATTAATATGAGGTAAAAAAAATTGAGTATGATGAAATATATTGTTACTGGCTTCAAAAACAGATCAAATAGATGAAAACCTGAAACAAGCACTGCAGAAAGACTTAAACATCATGGCCCCAGGTCTCACTATACAGGTAAGTCCTTTTCCTAGGAAAATTCTCTGAGAGCTTTGAATTTGATCCTCCTTTCATCTGATTATTTATTCATCAGTTATTTAAGTGAAGTACTGTGGTGATGTATAGAATACTTTACTCAACTTGACTTTAGGTCTCTGCCAAAATGAAAAACGTACTTTTATAGCTTACCATGGGTGACAATTCTTATGTTCTCTTAGAGGGATATTTATCAGTAATTTATGTGAAGTACTGTGGTGGTTTATAGAATACTTTTCTCAATTTAAATTTAAGTCTCTGCCAAAATGAAAAACATACTCCTGTAGCTTACCAGCGATAACATTCTAGTGAACTCTTAGAGGGAATTTATACAGTAAGGCTTTTACAGGAAACAAAATTCATATTTCTGCCCTGCATTCATAAGTACAGTAATGATAATTCATCAGTGTAAGAGTGAGCCTTGCTGACAGTAAGATGAAGAAGTTTAAACAGTAATTCTAGTCAAGTAGATATCAAGAGTATTAATTGACAGGTAAATTCTTCAGAAAATTATTGTTCTAAGAGGGCAGACATTTCAAAAGAGTGTGCCTAGGACTATAGTTGAGTTGAGATATTAGGTAGCTTGGAAAAATTAATTGGATTTATGTGGAGGAAAGAAGTGAAAAAGGTACTTCAAGTGAATAAGATAATCTGATTCAAGTGAATGGGATAAAGCAAAGTAACAAATGAATTAGAGGTGGTAAGGGCACCAGAATTGGGAGGTAGAATGGTGAGAGATTATATCCTGCTTTTCTGGGTCATTGTCTTTTTAGCTTGTGAGCTGAAATCAATTGGTGGATTATAAGAGCAATTTTAGTGGGTCATTTGTTCCTAGAATAGGAAAAGAAACACATAGTAAGTTTAAGTATTCTGTGCACCTTTAGTTTTATATAAGTCTGTGGGAGTGGGCATTTATACTGCGTGTCACTGCAAAATGCGTTTATTACTATATCCATGGTCAATAACATTTGAAAACACTGCTTTAGATCTGGATTGCCCTAGAAATGGTAGCATGGCTTCTCTGGCATCCTTTTTCAGAGGCCCTCAGAGATCAGTTATGAGCATTACTGCAGCTAAAGATAAAGATTTGTCAGGTATCTCAAGTTTCTGAATTCTTTTTGCTGAAGGGCACTAATACTAAGAGTGTGCATTCAGTGTAAGTGATGGTATGTGCAGTTCTCATAAATGGGACTGGAAAGGTGGACTGGGTATTCCCTATAGCCAGTTCCTGCTAGTCTTCTGTCTTAGGTGCCTGAGGATAAACCACCAAAGTTAAGGGGTGATTGGAAGTTTCCTTTCTTTTTTCTTTTTGTTTTTGGTACCAAGAATCGAACTCAGGACCTTATGCTTGCCAGACAGGCTCTTGTGCCACTGAGCTATATCCCTGGCTTGAAATTTCCAAAAGTAACTGTGGAATCGTCTTGGTTGTCCACACTTTTGTGGCTAGAGCAGCTTTATAATTTTAAAAATAGCATAAATGGGAATGTCAAAGATTCTTAGATTTTGCCCAGGTTGTTACTCGGAGCTATAGCTCATTCCTTTTAACAGCTGCCTAGAATTCTTTGCCTTATATTACTGAGCCATTTCTCTGTTCCCATTTTTTGATATTAATAAACTACTATAGTGAATATTTGTGACATGTCCTTGTTTGTACAAATTATCTTTCAAAGTGACTGTACAAATCCACATTCTTCTCAACAGTACATGGAAATACTTGTTTCCATATGACCTCACCAGGATTACAAACAGTCAAACATGCTAGGTTTTGCCATATACATGTGTTTTTATATCTGCGTTTGATTTGCATTTAATGAAGTTGAACATCTTTGATATTTTTATTGGCCATTTATAATCTTTTCTATCAATGGCCTGCTCATATCCTTTACCCATTTTGCTGTTGGATTTTTTAACTGATTTGTAGTAGTTCTGTATATATTCTGGGTATTTTTATATATACAATCATATATGTTGTAGAAAACAGTTGCATATTAAAATGATCAAGAACAGGGGCTGGGGATTTAGCTCAGCGGCAAAGCGCCTGCCTGGCAAGCACAAGGTTGTGAGTTCGGTTCCCGGTACCGGAGAAAAACCAAAAAATAAAATGATCAAGAACAAAATGAAATATACCAGTAATTTTACTGTGCAGAGATAACGTTGTTGTATATTTGTAGAGTCTTCTTAAAAATACAGGAACATATGTTTGTGTGTACCTACTAAACTAAAGTGAAATTTCACCATACCTGCTTTTTTCACTAATAGTATATGCATGTAGATCTTTCCAACTCTAAAATAAAGGTTTACTACATCATCAATTTTAGTGCTTATATTTAGTGATTTTCTATGGCTTCTCCTTTTTTTCTGTTATGTACATTTTACAGTGACCATGCTTATCTGTACATCTTTTAAAGGCTTTCCCTACGATAAATTCTTAAGAGTGGGATTGATGAGTCAAGATGTATTCCTTGGGCCGGGGATATAGCTCAGTGGCAATAAGTGCTTGCCTGGCAAGTCTGAGGTCATGAGTTTGATTCCCAGTACCAAAAAAAAAAAAAGATGTATTCCTTGTTTGAGGGCTTTTTAGATATATACTGCTAAATTACCTTTCTGAAAAATTTTACCAGCTTATACTCACTCATCAGCAGTGTTGGTGAGCTATAGCTCCTACACACTTGATTGTGTGATTGTACCCAAATAGTTAGCAGTTAACAAGAATGTAAATCTCCTTCCCCTTTCTTCTTCTCCCTCCTCTAATTCCCCTATTCTGATTTTCATTCTTGTTAACTGATAGCAGAAGCAATCTCTTTCATAATCTTTTTGGAGAAGATTACTATGGTACTCTGTATTAATTATTGCCTAGACTGGTAGCCTCCTGTCCTTTCCTACTCTCACTTTTATCCTTGCCTACTTCATTTTCTGTACAGCATCAAGAAGAAACTTTTGAACTTTTTTTAAAAATAAAAACAATTATTGAATCCAAACACATAGCTTTGTAATGCATTCTTTCTTTAAAAAACATTTTTTATTTTATCGGTACTTTTATCAGCATTTTATCATGTACATGTTTGCAGTACATGCAGATTAGAGTCATCTTGGGAAGTAGATATACAGTATATACATACTACAGCTTGTTTCTTTTTTTTTTAAATCTCCTTCCCCTTTCTTCTTCTCTCTCCTCTAATTCTCCTGTCCTGATTTTCATTCTTGTTGACATTATTAATGTTGGCTAGTGTATGATGTTTACATTCATTGAGGTTATTGGGTTCCTGTACATGACATATCTTTCCTCTACATGACACTGTACTTTGGTTTCCTCTTCCCCTTCCCCTCACCTCTCCTCCTGATTCCCTTGGACCACTTCCCAATTGCAAGAGATACTGTACTTTTCATGCATTTCCTACAGGTGCATTCATTTTCCTATAGATGTCTCAAATTTGTCATTCTTTGTAGCTGAGTAGTATTCCATTATATATAGATACCACATTTTCTTTATCCAGTCATCTGTTGATGGATATACAGGCTGTTTCCAGGATTTAGCCATTGTGACCTGTACTGCTATAAACATTGGTATGCATGTACTGCTATAAACATTGGTATGCATGTACATGCTATAAACATTGGTATGCTGTAGTGTGATCTCCTAAAAGGGGGATATCTAGGTAGTATGGGATTTCTAATTTCAGTTCTTTGAGAAATACTGATTTCCACAGTGGAGTTAAGTTAATAGTCATGGTTGTAAATCATTTTAATAATATTCAGGAGATACTCTCTCTTAAAAGACAAAAACATTTCAGAGCTTGGTGTGGCGGCTGATAATCCCAGCTACTCTGGAAGCTATGAAAGGAGAATTAAATTCAGAGTCAGCTGGGGCAATTTAGCAATTTGACCCTGTGTCAAAATTTAAAAAGCAAAGCATCCCTGGCTTCAATTCCCAGTATTGCAAAATAATAATAAAATTAAGGAGTGCAGTTTACTTTTGATGGATTTATTATATATCTGCAACTTTGTTCAATTTACTATCACTAGTAACTTTTTGGGTTAATTTCCTTAGGTTTTTGAGTTACATAGTTATGTCAAAATAAGTCTTGATTTCCTCCTCCAGCCTAGTACTTTTCCATTCCCCAAATAGTCCTATTTTAATTATTCATATAGCATTCATAATTATTTGGAATTCTATTTTGCATTTATTTGCTTTTTGATATTATCTCTTTTTAAAATTTTTGATTCCAGTCCTGCTTTTTTCACTATTGTATCCACAGTACCTAGAAAAGCAGTTGGCATAAAGAAGGTATATGAAAATATTTATTAAATGAGCATTTTCTATAGCAGTCAGTGTTTTAATTTTTCCTTTGCCTACATTTATACCATTTTCTTTATGAAAACTACTCTGACAGAGTTTTGAAAATAGACATCCTTGATATTTTTTCCTACATTATTTAATGGAGTAGCTGAATACGTCCCTATAGCCTAGGAGTCAATTTCAACACGTATTTTCATTTTATCACCACCCTCCTTTCTACTCACTCTGCATGTGTGTGCTCTTTTGGCCACTGATTTTGGATATGTTGTCTTTTTCTTAAATCTCTTATGATGCAATTTACTCTTGGTGTCTGTTAAATATAGCAGGTGTTTATACTTTCAAAACGTTTGAAAATGTGTGAGGTTTCCCTGGATTGGCAATCATGTGATACGTTCTTCCACTTCATACAGGAAAGTAAGAGTCTTCAAATTTAGTCCTATTTTATGCTTTTTATGAAACTAAAACATAACCAGTCTCTGAATTAAATTCAGTGTGACAGTGACTCTTTCTGAGACATAGTACAGTGCTCTGTATTGGAAGTTATCTGTATATTTGGGAGTCACATAATGAAATCTGTCATCTCCCAAATCCTGGCTCAGAATTTTTGTCTTCTGGGTATCTCTACTGAATTGTATTTATGACCTCACATGTTTGCCTATGGTGAGGTCCTTGTATAACCCTCCACTTCATATTCTGTTCCATTGTAATCCCTAACATTAGTTGTCTGTAGTCTCAAAAATTACCTGCAGATTTTACTGTTACCTTTCATATGTTGCTTAAAAGAGTTTTAATGTCTTCTTTTAAAGTCCTTGTGCTTAAAGGCTTTGTTATATAATTTACCCAGTTTTTATTGGGAAATTAAATCTTCAGAGCAGCAATACTGTATGTGTTTGCAGTATAGGTGGGGAATATAAGATGTTTAGTAAAATCAGAAGCTTTTGAGAGATCAAATCCTTCGGGTAGGAAAGTAAGCCTTCAGGGGGCTGGGGATTTAGCTCAGCGGCAAAAGCGCCTGCCTGGCAAGTGCAAGGTCGTGAGTTCGGTTCCCGGTACCGGAGAAAAACCAAAACCAAAAAAAAACAAAAAAAAAAACAAAGAAAGTAAGCCTTCAAAAAATAGCGCTTGCCAAGTAGATAAGTAATTATCAGTCAAAGTGTACCATGACGAAAGAAACAAAATACCTAGTAAAGAATGTTCACAGCAACAGGTATAGTGTGATAAGTGAGAGTCTGGGAAGAAAGAATACAAACTCTGAATTGATATTTAATATCTTTCAGGCCACCTGGCAAGTGCAAGGTTGTGAGTCTGATTCCTTGTACCAGAAAACAAACAAACAAACAAACAAACAAAATATATATATATATATATCTTTCAGGCCTTTGACTGTTGTAGCTGGTACTGAGTGAGTGTGGTTTTAGGAAGTGATAAATTAATTTGCTTACTAGGCACCGTATTAAATTGCTTATGGTGCCATGGGTTTTCTGTTTTAGTTTTTCTCCGGTACCGGGAACCGAACTCACGACCTTGCGCTTGCCAGGCAAGCGCTTTTGCCGCTGAGCTAAATCCCCAGCCCCGGGTTTTCTGTTTTAGGGGAACTTTTCCCTAAGAGAATATTTTTCCTCAAGAGTACAATAGTTCTTCCATAGTCTGACAGAGGAACATATAACTTATCTTTGATTCTTGGTGTGATAGCATGAAAAGTAGATTTCCCAATGTGATACTTACATGTTGGTAGGCAGTTGTGTTGTACTTGTTTCATTGGTATGATTTGGTGAACTCTTTTGTGGAAGATTTAGTTTGAAGACTTATTTTTGAATATATTTAAGGTTTATCACTCTTTTTTTATTTAGGCTGTACGTGTTACAAAACCTAAAATCCCAGAAGCCATAAGAAGAAATTTTGAGTTAATGTGAGTAATGTGAATGGGACCCTAATATTTCTGTTTAGAGTTGTCTGCGTATTAATACACCATTTTAGAGGAAACATTTTTGAGATAATACATGCAGGTTGATGAAATATCATCTATACTTCTGTCTTAGTGATACTGTCTTCATCCTTTAGTTCCTCTATACTCTCACTAGTTTTCTCTTTATGTATGATCATTTCAGGAACAGTTTCAATGGCTAAAGAACAGTTTGCTGTGGAACTCTTGCTGGACCCCTTAGGACAGTGATGGTGAATCTTTTAGAGCTTTCAGTGATACAAACAGCCCACTGCAGTGCGTGTGCCATAGATTCGCCACCACTGCTTTAGGAACTATATAATCTGTACGTAAATAGTACCATGTACTCAATGTTAACAAAATAACCTATTAAGGTTGAAGAGAATGCCCACATTTTGTTACTTTATTGTGATGCTAAGAATAGACACTTAGCTGGTAAGAGTTTATTTTTTTTTCATTGTATAATAGGCCTGGGTCTTTATAATTTGCCTCTGGAAAAGTGTGACTTGAATTGACTTCTAGTAATCTTTTTCTTTCATGTGTCCAGGCCTGGTTGACAATGAAAAGTTACTTGCTCAATATGAAATTAGTTTATGTTTTAGAGGACCCCTTTGAGGGGAATATTTACTATAGCATCTGAAATAGTATTATTCTCATGTACTAGGTAATAGAAGATGGGGAAAATATGAGATACTGGAAAAAATAACTTTGCAAAAGCCAAGAATACAACAAATACATAAATGCAGAGGGGTCCAAGGAGTAGTAACACTGCTTTATGGGGTAATATGCTTGAGTCCTTTTTATTCCCAAGTCTGTATATTTATCATGCAGAGTTTTATTTTCTCTTTTTCATTATAGAAGTGAAACTCCTTTATAAGACTATAGAGTACCAGGCTGGGTATATTGTGGGTCTGAGTCATGCGTAGAAAAAAAAAAAAATGTTTAGTGGAGGTTCAGGATGTCCTAAGCTTTAAATATGATTGCTCCTGTTTGTGGAAAGATGAATACAGAGTCTCCTTCTTCCCTTCCTTCCTTATTTTTGATGCCGGGGATTAAAACCAGATCTTCATGCATGTTAAGCACCCACTCTACCACTTAGCTACACTCCTATCCCTGAATATCATGTGTTTGCTGCACTCAAATGACTTACAGTATTCAAAATATCCTTTCATGTCTTTATCAATGTTGGCAGTGGGAAGGGGGAAGATGGAGGGAAATGTCTGGGGGAAACTGGCAGAATTACTTCTGAGATAATTCTGGATCTTTCTTAATTTCATAGGCTTTTGGAATTCCAGAATTAAAAGCTACCATGGATTATCCAATCTAACTTCTTACCTAAATAGTAATCTTTTTTGATACCACTTCTGCCATGTGGTCAGATAGTGGGAGGCACTTGCAGATGCTTAGTGAGAGGCCAGCATTTTCATTATTGAAGCTCAAATTCTATAAAACAAAAGTTTCCTTACATGCAGCCCCAATTTACTGCTTAATAACTACCACCTAGTTATGTCTTTTGTACAGCAAATAGGGCCGCTGCACCTGGGTGTCAGCCTGAGGAGGGCAGGAGCTGAAATCCAACTTCATTCTGCTTGCTATACTATGTGCCTAAGAGACAGCATCTACCCAGAGACTGGTACCTTTTTCCAATTAGTTATACCACTGTGTGAGCTAGCAGGAGGCCTAAAAGCTAGGGAAGGTTTTATGTACTTGCAGGGCTTTACATGATACAATTAGAAGGGGGAAAAATCAGGCTAAAGTTCTAATGCACTAAATTTTTTAATCTCTGGGTGCCTTTAAACAAATCATTTATTCTTTCAATCTCAGGCTAATTAACTATAAGTAAAATAATACCTCCTGTACCTACCCTAATGAGTCCAAATGTTCTCACTGAAAAATAGTTCTCTGGCCCAATATAAGGTCAGAATTGCTAGCAGTAACCACACAGAAGAGAATCTTTTCTATGGTTGTGGGTGCAGATCAGTAGTAAAAGCACTTGCCTAACATACACAAGGCCCAGGGTTCATCCTCAAAGCAGAGTAGAGCAGTTCTAATTTTTACAATGTTTTTTTCCACAGGGAGGCTGAGAAGACTAAACTTCTTATAGCTGCACAGAAACAAAAAGTTGTAGAGAAAGAAGCTGAGACAGAGAGGAAAAAGGCTGTTATAGGTACTTGGACTTATTTCTGAAATGAGTGTCTCAAAGTATGTGTGCTGTGAATTTGTCCTGTTGTCAGTCATGTGAGATATTGACAAGACTCAAATAAGATTGCACCATATGTAGCAGAAAATTCTGAAAATTTCATTGTACATTCAGATGTTTTAAAGCCTTTGAAAGTAGATGATTAAGCCAGTACTTAATGAAGTCCCTTGGCTTTTCAGCATGTTGTTGTCTGCTACTATGGTCTTCGTCAAGATCAGGGAGATTGAATAGAGCTAATGAGAAGGTTTAGTCTCTTGGCGTAGGATTTTCATTTATATAGATTTAGAATAGGAAAGTTGTTTGGGCAGAGCTCAAGATTTGCATATGGATCCTTGCAATTGACATGCACCTAGTTCTACCTGTATAAATTTTATCATATACAAAAGTATGGCAGGATACTTATAGCTTCTTTTGAATCAACACTCTGGGTATCTTATACTATTATTTTCAGCCCTAAATTGATACTGAGTTTAGGGTATATTTCTTTTTGATGCCTCCTTTGTACCTTTTCCTGGTCTTCTTAACTTTGCTTCTCAGGTTAGCTTCTATTTTAAAGTTGATATATATCCTTTTTGTCCATATTTTTATACTTTTACTGTAAGCCTATGACAATAAACAGATGATAGAAAATGATTTTATCTCTTTAAAGCTACAGTGTGGGTGTGGTGGCACATACCTGTGATCCCAGCTCTAGGGAGTCTTAAGGTAGAAGGATTGCTGCGAGTTTGAGGCTAGCCTGAGCTACAAAGTGAGTTCAAGGCTAGCATGAACTGCATAGTAAAATCCTGTCTTCAAAAATAAAAAATTAAAACTACAAAAATGACATCAAAGTACCTTTCATTTTATACCTGGCCCTTTTTTTTTAAACTGACCGTTGAGATTTTTTTCTTATTGGTACATGTACATCTAGTTCGTACTCAATGGCTGTACAGTTTCATTCTATAAACTGATCTTATTCTGATGAACTACTAATGAAGAGTTAGGTAGTTTCTAGTTTGTCATTACTGCAAACACTGCTGCAGTGTTTTCATTTCTTCTTGCACAGAAGTAAGAGAGTTTCCTAGAGCAGAATTATTTGGCGTGTGATGTGGTATGATGCCCTATCACCAGTTTGGTGATTTTTTTTATTTTCTTTTCCTGAGTCACATTGAGAGTAAGATGAGTACAGGTATTAACAGTGAATTTAGAAGTTCTTATAGCATTTTAATACTTTTGGAAAGTAGGGATTGAGATAGGGTAGTCCACACTGGCCTTGAATGTGCCATGTAGCCAGGTTGGCCTTGAACTCATGATCATCCTACGTCAGCCTCCTGAGTGCTGGAATTACAAGGCATATACCACCACACTTGACTCAACACTTAATTTTTTGTATGTTGAATCTGATAATAAAAGGTTGGAGCTTATCTTTCTATATTTCATTTTTAATTTCTCTTTTCTAATAATTCATTTATATTACAGTTTATACTTTATTGATTCCTAACTGATTGAAATTCAAGGGGAAAAAAATACTTTCCCATAGGTAGTTTGAGAAGCACTGCACTGGAAAACATACTTGGAAATAGAAGTGCTTTATTTTAGAATATGCATGTCATCTGTTTTAACATACTGTCAGATTGCTCTCTAAGGTGACTCAGTAACATACTTGAGTATTTCTGCATATCTTCTTCAACCTTTGGAGTCATCAGACTTTTAAACATTTATACTGGTTCAGTGGTGGACATGGAATTACATAATGTTAATTTCAATTCCCCTGATTAATAGTAAAGCTGAATCTTGTTTATTGGTCATTCAGGTTTCCTTTTTCTTTTCCTATCTGAACTGCCTTTTAATATCCTTAGCTTGTTATTTGATTGATGTTTTGAACTGGTTAATAGGAATTCTTTTTAATCTCTTGAGCTCTAACCTGTTCCCACATTTATGCTTTAGAAGTATCTTCTCAGTTTGTAGCTTGTGTTTGAACTCTTACATGGTCACATGTATATTTAATTTTTATGTGGTCAAATTCATGAATCTTTTCTTCTATGATTTGTGCCATTCCTATCTTAAGAATTATTTCCCTACCCTAATAAAAAAATTATTCTAAAAGTTTTAACTTTCTGGATTTTGTGCTTAGGGCTTTTATCCATGTAGAATTTATTTTAGTATGTAATATGACATACAAGTTCAGTTTTTTTTTTCCAAATGGCAAACTAATTGTCTTAGACTACTGAATGGTTTATTATTTCCTTTACTTATTTCTAATGCTCTGTGTGTCATATAACAAGATAACATATTTCTCTGTTACTAGGACCTACACTTTATTTCTGTTTTGATTTATCCTCTACTATTGCCTTCTTTTAATTACTGTAGCTTTTATGTTAAATCTTGCTGTCTGGGAGCATGAGTGTTGCCTTAGCTGTTCCTCCTGTTAACTACTAAAATTGTGCTGGACTATTCTAGGCCCTTTTATTCACCCATATAAATTTAAGAACCAGCTTGATTTCTATAAAATACTGTGTTGGGATTTTTATCTAAATTGCATATATGTGTAGATCTGTTTGGAAAGAACTGTAATATTTGTGATACTGAATCTAGTTATATTTTTTCATTTATAAGAAATATTTTTCAAAAAAAGTCAATTATCTTAAACTTGTGACAGATTTGTTAGAGATTTATTACTATTATCCTTTAAAGTTTTTGTTTTATAGTTTCATAAATAGGCTATATTTAAAGGCACATTTTCTAATTGGTTGTTGCTTTTGTATGCATACATTGTTGATTTTTTAATTTAGTAGTCCTGCTGAGAATGCTGTTATTCTAATAGTCTTGGATTTTCTGTGTGAGCAATCATAGTGTCTTCATATAAGGACAATTTTTTTTATTATGTTTTCATACTTTATTTCTTCTTTTCTTACTGCTTTGGGCTGTGACTTCTTGTACAGTGTAGAACTGGAAATGGTGATGGCTATTCTAGTCTTGTCTCTAAATATTCCCAGTGACATTTACTGTGCCTAACATCTATCAGTTAATGAAGAAGTAAGTTTCCTCCTGTCCTTTGTTCACCAAGAGCTTTTATTGAGAAACTATGTATTTTCTAGTTAAAACTATAATTTTTCTCCTTAAGATGAGCATGTGATTTTTCTTTTTAAAGCTGTTAATGTGATGAATTATATTAATAGATTTTCTATTGAATTTTTTGTGTTCTTGAGTTAAATCCACTTGGAAGTTGACCATAATAGATGTCTTTATATGGCCTGCTGATGATTTTTGTGTAATTTTTACTTTTTTAATAAATGAAATCAGTTTATAATTTTCTTTTCTTACACTCCTGCCATCAGACTTTGTGGGAGTTGTGGGGTGTTTTTGGTTTTTGTATTATGGTTCTTTTAGGTTGAGGAGCATTTCTTCATTGTCTGTGTTCTAGAGCACTTTGTATGAGATACATATTATCTCTGAGATCTGGTGAAACTCAATTCTAAAACTATTTTGGTCTAATGTGATTTGTACTTATTTGTTTTTCTGTGATAATATTTAACCTACCAATTTAATTTCTGTATTAAGTTTAGGTGTATTCGGTTCTTTGTTTTTTATAAAGTCAGTTTTGACAGTATTGATAGAAAGTTGTCCATTTTATTTGCTATCTCAAATTTGGGGGCATAAATTTATAGAATTCTCTTACAATTACCAAAGCACCTACCAAATCTGTGTGTTCCCTTTTCATTCTTAATATTGTTTACTTGTGCCTCTTTCCCTGGATTGATTTTGCCAGAGATCTGTCTTATTTATTTACTTATATGTGGTTTTTGAGAACTGACTTTTGGTTTGGATTTTGTTGATTGTGGCTTTCTTTTCAGTGTTATTTACACTTATTTTTGTTGGTTCCTTTTTTCTACTTGCTCTGCATTTACTCATTTGTTCTTTTCTGACTTCTGGAGTCAGATAATTCATTAGTTTTCAGTCTTTTTAAATGGAAGTATGTAAGATAAATTTTCTTCTAAATATTGCTTTATGTCAAATTTTGAAATGTACTTTGTGTACGGTTGTTCACTTTTTTTAATGCTTTTAAAAACATTGCTGTTATATTTTTTATCTTTGACTCATGAATTGTTAAAAGTACATTTTTCAGTTTCTGGTTTGATGGGTTTTGAGGGTCTGTCTTTTGTTGCTGATGCCCAAAATTAAATGTAGTCAGAAAATGAGATCAGTTGTATGGATTCTTAAGCATTTATTGGGATTTGCTTTGTACCCTACGTACACATCGTCCTTCTGTGTAAATATTCTATGTATGCTTAAAAAGATTGAGTATATACCCTCTGTTTGTTAGATGCAGGCTCCTTTGTATGTATCCACCAGGTCAGGCTTGTGAATTGTGTTGTTCACATCTTCTCTATGCTTCTAATGTTGTCTTTTTGAGCTATCAGTTTCTCAGAAAAGTTTGTTAAGATTTCCCACTGTACCTGTTTATTTGTTTTTCTTTCTGTATTTTGGACCTATATCAGTAAGAGCATTCAGATTGAGAATTGTTACATCTTCCCGGAGAATTGCTTCTATTTTATAATAACGTTCTTCATTCCTAATGTATTTTTTTGGCTTAAGCTCTGTTTTGTCTGGTGATAATATAGCTATGCCAGATTTCTCTTGGGTTTTTTTTGGTGGGGGATATATCTTCCCATCCTTTTACTTTGAACTTTTCTATGTCATTATGTTTTAGGTATGTCTCTTGTAAACAGCATATAGCTGGATTTTGTTATCTTATCCAATGTGAGAATCTGTCTTTTAACTGGTGAGTTTTAGTCTTTTTATATTTATTGTGGTGGCTGTTATATGGATTTGTTTGTATCATTCAGTTATGTGCTATTTACCATGGTTTTTTTCCTCTGCTTTTTCCCTCATTTCTGATCAGTATTAAATGATTGAGTTTTTATTCTTTCCTTCCTTTCACTTGACTGGAAGTTTTACATATCTGTAATGTGTAACTAGTCGTCACCTGTGATATGTTAACAAGCATACCTGACTTAACAAAGTCTGAAGTTAATCATTATCTCTGTTTTCCTCTTGAACAATACTTTGGAATGCTGAAACTCTTTACCATTATTCTCCAATCTTACACAGTTTCATGTTGCTTGTATCTTCCCATTGATTATTGTCATCATCATTGATTTTATAGTGAATATATATATGTATATATATATGTGTGCGTATATATATATATATATATATATATGTATTGATGCGTGTTGAGTAATTTTTCTCCTGTGCATTATCCCCTGATAATTGTTTTTTTCCCTGTGCTAGGTTTGTTTGGGTTTTTTTTTTCTTTTAGTTAGAACTAAGGAATGGAAAACTTTAGTCTTCTTCGTTCTAGAAATGCTTTTATTTCATTCTTGAATGGTAATTCTGCACCAAACTTAACTTTGGTAATGTTACTCCATTTTTGTTTGGCCTTTTGTAGGTACAAAAGGTACTATTGTTACAGGGATAATATCAAAATTTCCAAATACAATATAAGGGAAATGTATCTCCCAACCTGTTAGATGTCTTACACACCAAGTTCATGTTCTCTAAAAATCAAAGAATGAATTCTGGGAACAAATGAGGTTAGCAGTAGGAAGGTATTTATTGAGAGGAAGAGGTACAGCTCCTGAGAAGCAAGAGAGGTCCTGAATGGGTTGCCAGGGGACCCCACTTTACAGGAAAATTTTATAGAGCATTACCCACATGGGTACAATGTAGTTAACCAGTAAGGATACAAGTGTAGTCATTTAGGTAATAGTGATCCAGTGGGGAGACAAGTCATATAACTAGAGTACATGGAAAGAACAAAGACTTCTTCTAGGAAATGATGGGTCCAGAGGTCTTGGTTACCCACGAGGGTAACTGATGTCTATCTAGGCTTCATTAGAGCTAGTGTTTATCCTTCAGGGAAGTATATAGGCCTGGTCTCCAACAGGTGTGTCTCTAGCCTGGTCTCCAACAGATATGTTTTACCTTTGTCCTGGCTCTCTCAAGGGCCTAGCCCTATCTGACTGCCTATAGTATTTCTACCTAGCTTAGCTGTCTATAATACTATCAGTCTCATTTTTCCCTTTGAATAATCAGTCTTTCTTCTCTCTTCGCTTTGAAGACTTCTGTTTTGAGGTATTTGCCAATTTCACTGATAATATGTCTATGTAGCAGAAAACTCACTATGCTGGTAGATAGACTGCTTCAGTCCCTTTGACTACAGCTGGAGCCTGTAAGTCTTAGTTTTATATGTGTCTTAGTTCTAACATTGTAAGATGTGATTTCCTGGCTCTCCCTGTACTATTACCCAAGTCCCTTTCCCGTTCTTAAAAAGTAACCATCCCCAGGGCAGCCACCATCTAGGCTCTCAGCTCTCCTTTTGCTTACATCACTTGAAGATCTCTCTTACAAACTCAGCCATGCATTAAAAATCATATTTGTTATATTTTATCTAGCATTTTAAGGTGTTAGCTGAAGGGTTTTCTCATTAACCTACTCCACCATATTTGTAGAACTAGAAGTCTAATAATCTTCACTGGTTTATTCCCACATGACACAAGCATAAAAGGAACTATTTACAAATTTTCTCTCCATTATGTGCCTCCTTCTGGGACCAGAGATAAAATATGGTCTTCGTATCTGTGGGTATTGGTTGAAGGAATACCAAAGCACATACACACCCTGCCAGGGCCCATATTAAAATCTGAAGATGTTCAAGTCTCCTACGTAAAATAGCATGTATCTCATATAACTTAATACACATTCTTCCATATGACTTTAAATCATCTCTAAGTTACCTGTTACAATGTAAAAATTGTTATTTTACTATATCATTTACGGAATAATGGCAAGAAAAAAATTCTGTACATATTCCATACATTCATGGGGGTTTTTTTTCTGAGTATTTTCTATGTGCAAATGGTTGACTTTGCAAATGAGAGACTTGTGAATACAGAGTCAGCTATATTCCTCCTCTTTGGCTGATCAGAAGAATTAAGAATGTTCTTTTAACAGTGGCACTGATTGATTATGTAATGTAATTAGAACTTTTTCTTTCCTGGTCCTGGGTCCTTTGGTTCAGCCAGAAATTTAGTAAGGGTGCTTTATGTCTCCATATAACTTTAAATCATCTCAAGGTTACCTTTAATAGCTGATGTGTTCAGTCCCATCACTTGTTTTCACCTTCTTAATGAGTTACAGTGCTTTTTACTTAACCTTCTACAGAAGTCACAGTATGCCTCCTCTGGTACTCTTTTCCTCATATCATGGTGGTCACTTTAAGTACATCCTGACTATAAAATTTAACTTCTTAGCCTTTCACTCAAGATAGAGGTCTTCTAGCCCTCTTTCTAATCTTATTTTTTTGTTATCTGGCTCCATACTACCTCTTTATTGTGACGTATTCACTTGTAGCTCCTTTTATTTATGCTTTCTGGCATGTCCTTCTAGGTCATGGCTGTTATTTCCTAATTGCTTCTAAAAGTTTTTCCTTGGTTTAACTTATCTCCCTTATTCTTTCTTTCTCCTGCCACATTATGTGATTGTCTTCTGTTACCATGCATTTATGTTACTGTTTTTGTTCTGTAGTACTTTCATGAAGTATCTTTTCCTTCCATCAGCTTGTGAACCACTGTTGTCGAGTCTCATGACAGACTGTAATTATTAATCTATTGTACATCCTTTTCCCACAGAACTTACATTGTCAGAATAGAGCAGTGAAGTAGGAAATAAATTCCTTTTATTCCTTTGATTTGTCTAGTCTGGATCAATAAAACTTAAGGAGCCAGGCATGGTGGCACACATCCCAGCACTCCATAGGCTGAGGCAGGAGGAGTGCTGTGAGTTCAAGGCCACCCTACATTACATAAGTGAATTGAAGGCCAGCCTGAACTGCACAGTGGATGCTGTCTTAGAAAGAAAGAAAGAAAGAAAGAAAGAAAGAAAGAAAGAAAGAAAGAAAGAAAGAAAGAAAAGAAAAGAAAAGAAAGAGAAAGAAAAAAGAAACTTAAGGAAACCATTATCCATAAATCTTTATGTAATTAAATGTTAGGCTGTGGGCTACTTGCTCAGAGTGCCTTGGAAACTAAAAAAAATGTTTTGAGTATGTCTTTTGTTTTATAATTATAGAAGCAGAAAAGATTGCACAAGTGGCCAAAATTCGGTTTCAGCAGAAGGTGATGGAGAAAGAAACAGAAAAGCGCATTTCTGAAATTGAAGGTACATTGTGGAGGGTGTGAGGGCGGGTCTGGTGATCCTGAACTACTCTGCTTTGGGGAGCAGCTCTTGATTGTCTTGGGTAGTGGGTAATTGAGTATTCTGATTTGGAGGAAGTAGCTAGCCTGATACTCTGGGCAAAATTTCTTCCAATGCTATTACATATCTAATTCTTGCTTTGGTTTGTGACACTGGTAGCTCAACTTTTCGTTACTTTCCTTAAATTGGAGCTTATTAGCTATTGTTTTATTCTCAGATAAAATATAAGAGTTATTTATAATCAGTTGTAAAGAATGTACAGAAAAATAAACCCTAGCACCAGCAATTCTTTTTTATCTGTCAGCCACAATCAGTTAGCTGGGAAAAAAGAACCCCAGTTTTCAAGGAAAATCTCAAAACTCCTTGAGTCCCATAGTGACATGTTAATGTTCTGAGCTCACAGTCTTGAAGACACTTTGGCTCATATACAGCTGCTTCCTGTCGTTCTGTGTTAACTGATTCTGGATCAAATTTGAAGAGTTTGGGGACAGTGAAATAAGTAGAAGAGAGATTTTGCTGCTGGGCTTGCTTATTTTACTTGAAGCCTGGATGGACATGAGCTTTAGATGTTGGGAGGTAGAAGAAGAAGGAAGCACTTGAGGTAGAAATGAGTGGGCTCAGGTAATTTGTTGCTCCGCAGTGACAGGAATATTGCCCCCTCAGAAAGAGCTGTCAGGGGACTGGTACTTGAAAGCTGCTTATATTATAAACTTAAGGTAAGCATTTGAAATATTAAATAACAGAAAAAGGGACTCTATCCAGCTGAGGGAGTGGATTAGCAACTTACCTTTGTTTTAAACACCATTATCTGATTTATTTTGCTAGATGCTGCCTTTCTGGCACGAGAGAAGGCAAAAGCAGATGCTGAGTATTATGCTGCACACAAATATGCCACCTCAAATAAAGTAAGTGGTTCTCTGAGCCGCTTCCCTAGCGATGGCTTGGGTTTGGTTTTTTTTTTTCAGGATCTCAAATATGGTAGAGATGGTTTTATCCAGTGTCAGGAAAGGGTAGCAACCAGCCCATCTTCCAGAGTCTGCTAGTTGTTTAGCAAGACTTACTGCATACTCACTGAATAGGAAACTGTGTAGTTCCTTGTAAGTGGGGAGCTAGGACAAAGCAAACATAAATGGAGATCAGTTGCTGTAAATCCATTCATTTGGTGATATAGGGACCCAGTACTGTATAATATTGAAGATCTCCAGCAGAGTGACAAGAAAGAAAAGCTGAAGTTCATTTAGAATTGCTTTCCAGATAAAATAGCTTTTTAGGGTAGTAGCTAAGCTTATTTAGAGCAATATTTCTTACCAGAGATATTCTTAGCATTTGGGGATGAGATACTCTTTAATTGCTGAAGACTTTTAGAGATTGAGAGATAATTTGCTAAATGTCTGTCATGCTCACTAGTTGTTTTAACAACCGCATACATGCACATTTCCAGATGACAACTTTGTTTTGGATTTTAAAAACTGTTGCAGTTTCATGTATGATACTTTTGAGAAAGAAGTTGGGTGATACATAGGTAAATAATTTTTGTAGAAGGACTAGGGTAGGTTAACCAGAGAGTAAGCCCTAATAAGGAGGAATTATTTAATGTAGCAGCACTATAACCCTTACAGGATTCAGAGAAGGGAAGGATATGTCAAGGATTTATAAAGTTATTAATTATAAGTAAAATGTTGAGAAGGGCAGTGGTTTTATGTCAGATACCAGCCTATATTAAAAAGGTTGTAAGAGTTAATTTAGGGGGCTGGGGATTTAGCTCAGCGGCACAGTGCCTGCCTGGCAAGCACAAGGTCATGAGTTTGATTCCCGGTACCAGAAAACAAACAAAACAAAAAAAAAGTTAATTTAGTTGGGCACCCTGACAAGATTTGATTGCAATGTTTCAACAGAGGATGTGAATCAGCTGGACAGGGTAGAGATCCAGGGAACGAAAGATACCAGACTTCAAAGAATAGGTGCTGTGGGGCTGTGAAGGACAAGAAGGGCTTTTCAGAGAAGACAAGCTGGGACCCAAGATGGAGGAGATTACTAGAGAAGGTTTGGGGAGCTTTGAAAGTATATATTCTGGGGAACAGGGGAATTGAATTTTAATCAAACCCAGAAAGATTTTGGTTGGATATGTCCTGGCATCATGTTCTAAACAAAACACTGTGACAGGGAAGGAGATCTGTGGTCAACACACATCTAGTTTACCTATTATAAAAACTGTTTAAACAACCAGCTTCCTGATAAAAGCAAGATGCCAAATCAAGTGACTTCTTGAGATTTTCCAGTTCTAGAATTTGGTCAACAAAGGCAGAATCATAGGCAGCTGGCTATAAGCCCAGGCCTTCCTTAAAGTTCTAAAGTCTCATCTATTGTCCTGTGTACCTCTCTCAAGAGAATCAGCAGAAATTCCAGATCAGTTTCAACTTGATTTCAGCTAGATGAAATAAGAAAGTATATATGAAAGTACTTTATAGTCCTTAAGTCACTCTATAGATATTATCACTAGTTATTACTTGTTCCCCCAGAACACCCCTATTCTATTAAAAAATGAACCAACAGATTCTCCTACATTAAGACCAGAGTTTATGACAGGAATTTTAAGTCAAATGCTTGATGTTCCTGCAATAACTAAACTCTAAAGGTAAAGAGGATCATAGCAACCATTCAGAATTGAGTGATGATACTAAGGAGATCAATGTAGGACTAAAAAGATGACTATTGCACCAAAATATCCTGATGCCTTTGCTCTTGTTTGCCCCCACACAGCACAAATTGACCCCGGAATATCTGGAGCTCAAAAAGTACCAGGCCATTGCTTCTAACAGTAAGATCTACTTTGGAAGCAATATCCCTAACATGTTCATGGACTCCTCTTGTGCTTTGAAATACTCAGATGTTAAGACTGGACGAGAAAGCTCTCTGCCCCCTGAGGAGGCTCTTGAACCCTCTGGAGAGAACCCCATCCAAAGCAAGAAGAGCACAGGTTGATGCAAGAGATGGAAATGTTCTCCCATATCAAGCTGTGGCCCAAGGGGCTAAGTGGGAATGATGATTATATGGACTCTTCAGATTTCAGAGAATTTGCACTCTTGTCTGTTCTGGCTCTCCTGTGATAGTCCTGGTTTATCAGCTGATCGCAGGATAGAGCCAGCTGTCTGGCACTCAAATGGTCTTTTCAGCCAGTTTTATCAAGTATGCTATATGTGTTCTTTTTTAAACTGGTACTCGTAAATGAGAGAAAGTTTATGCTAAGATACTGCCTGCACTGGAATGTTAAACACTAAATATATAACAAGCTGTGTTTTTCTAAGCTGAGATCTATTGAATAATGTTTACATTGGTCCCAGGGGACATGTGTGTTCAGCCATTCAAGAGATAGGATGACAGAGAGAAGACTGCCAGGACATGGTAAGTTAAAGAAGACTGATGGCACTTGGGACCCAGACTCTCTTTGGGGTCCAGTCTCAATGTTCGTTCATGTGATTGACATCCAGGCCACTGAGGTTCCCCAGGAAATGATCTTCCACTTGAGCAACCATTTACTTGATACGATTTGCACCATTGTTTTCCTATAGTCAGGTTGGTGGCCTACAGGGACATGTGCTTTGCCACCCCACCGGAGATTCCTCATTGAAATTCTTAATCACTAGTTTATTGCATTAGTAGGGCCAGAGATGAAGGCTTGCTGTAAAGTTCTGAGAGAGATAAAACCTTTGCAGAAGCCCTGCATCCCCTCAGTTGGGTAATGATTGTCAGTGTTGCTGCCCCAGGCCATATGTGACTAAGGTACTATGTCTGGTTTTTAGCCACAGGCAACTCCTGTGTCATCGCTCAGCTCTGGCTGCCCAAGAGTGGGACGGGGCTGTACCCAGATTTAGCAGTATATAGTTTCTAACCACTCACTGCATAGTGTTGTATCATAATTGCAGGAAGTTTTTATTTTTAAAACTGGATTTGGGGCACATTCATTTGCCCCCACTTTAATCTAAAGGCCAACTCCTAGGGCTGCCAGCGGTTTCTAGTTTACCCACCATATTGATCCTCCGTAACATTGTTCACCAAACGTGAGCAGTAGTAACCTAGAAACCATCCTTGGTAATCTTTGTTTCCTTCTCCCTTGGCCACAGGATGCTAAAATTAAAATGGTTTTTAAATTTTTACCTTCAGTAGGTGATCACATTCCATTGACTTCCTGGCCCACCAGTGAATTTAATTTTCCAAGAGAACGTGACAGAGTTAACCTGTGGCTATAGGAGATCTACTTCATCTGGATCTTTTTTTTCAGATTAACTTTGCTGGAACATTTGCTGCATATTAGGCCTGAATTTGTGCAGCTTGTGGATACCACTGTGTACACTCTGTTGAAGCCAGACAGAAAAGTCATGGGACCACTTTCATAAAACTCTCAGTAGTCAGTCTCTTGACAGCTGATGGGTTGTGCCAAACACTTTATTTGGGAAAGGAAAGCCCAGATTTGTAAGGGTCTTTTCCCTGGGCCTTAGGCATTTGTATGTAATATGGGGAAAATCTCATTTTTTTTCTCATTTACTTCTATAAATTCTCTTCTGAATGAATTTTGTGTCCTTTAGCCCTCCTTAAAACAACTTCTGAAAAATAAACTCCTGTTGTACTGTTGCTGCAGATAAATGATTGTTGTGGGAAATCTGGATCATTGACCTTTGTGCTTTCATTTCTAGAAATGTTTCCTATTCCCATAAGTAAAGAGCTGTTGCCCCAAAGTGATGGCTGTGGGTTTTCCTACCACCCACAAGCCCTGGTGGCAGCGTTGAGGAACAGGGAAGTGTCATTGTGAAGTTTTAAAGAAAGCACTTCCACCTAAACTTTCTCTGAGGAGTGAGCTTCCCTGTGCCCACTCAATGAGCTCTAAGTCTCGCCGTCCTTCAGGGATGTTCCTTTTGACAAATATATACTGTAATCTTGAAGCCGAAATTTATATGTGAAATGCTACCTTTTTTAAAATAAGAAATTAAATAAAATTATTTTACTATCAATGACTATGTGTGTTTTGTATTTCCCTTGTATCTTCATTATTTTCTGGCTTCTTAACACACTCTTAAAGTGGTCTTATGCATTTTAACTAGATGGCCAGTTTATTTGCCAGTTGAATCTGTAAGGGCTCATACTTTCTTCTGGGATATTGCTTACCTGGAGTAAGAATTTTAGTAACAGCTTTTCATGTACTTTTCTGATAACGCAAATGTGACAAGGGGTGTTCTGATTGTGGGACTGAGCCAGCAACAGAGGTGTAATAGGGAGGATAGAGCATCATGCCTATTAGGCCTGAATTTGTGCGGCTTGTGTCTAGATGTCCCCCCAAAACCTCATGCAGTCATTGTTAGGGCTTTTTAGAGGTGGCTTGATCTAGAATGTGTGATGTTGGGATTGTGTCTGATGCTGGGATCAAGGGTTTGTGATTACTAAATTAGTCCACTGATTGTTTTGGTATAGTTATGGGTGTGGATAATGGGAAAGCCCATCCTGGGTGTGAGTGCTACCTACCCTAAGGGCATGTAGTTTGCATAGATTATAAGGGACAGAAAGAGGGCTGCCATGGTCCTTGCTGCTGCTTCACTACTTTGGTGCTTTGCTGTGTTCTGCCAAAAATGAGCTGTTCCTCCTCTGTGATGCTCTTCTGCCATGCCACTGTGCCTTGGAGCCGGTCAGCTATAAAATGAAACTTCTACCAACTGAGCTAACTAAACCTTTTCTTCTTTAACTTTGAATGTTGGATATTTTGTCTTAGCAAAGAGAAGTAATTAAGATAGTTAATGTTGGAACCTTCCTTGAAAACTAAAGTACTTTAAGGAAGGAAACAGACTTACATGGAGGCAGAGGGCATACAATTTATATAAATTATGACTGGTGATGTGATGTGACATAATTGGTTTTACTAATGTTATTAGATGATATCAGCCCACAAGTCAGGGTTGGACTTAGGTTCCCTCCTGGTGAACATTCCCTGTTGGGGGTAATTTTCAGCAGTGCTGTTGGGCCAGCAGGGAATGGTAATTGGGAATTTTGGGGAGAGGAACGTTTTTTACAAGTTCCTCTTGGGACACCTGTAGTGTCCCGTGTTAGCTGCTATAGGTTAGGGAGCTTTAACTAACTCAAACTAGGCTTTTGATAGGTATTCAGGTGAAATGATTTCTGCCCTAATGGTAAATAATTTTGTAAATTAGAAATTGTGGCTTCTAATTGCTTTGGGATTAGGTCCCAAATATGTTCATGCGAGGATCTGTGATCAGGCCACTGCTGATCTTCCCAGCCATTCTTCTCTAAAACCCTTGGGTATACCTTCTCTTTGTATATAATGTTCCATCTAACTAGCTTATTCTTACGTTATGGCACTAACTTTGCTTTTGTAACTGCTAATGAGTCCTCATTGCTTCTTTAAAGAGGTCACCCTGAACTGAATGGTCAGGTTATTATCTCTTTCACATCTGCTAATGCTCTTCACTCTCATTACCTGCCTAATGACTATTAACACAGACTAAACTCGGTGAGGGCAGAGACTGTGACTGTGCTGTTAACTGAGGATGGCATCTCTTGCTAAATGGTGCTTGGCAAAATAAAAGAGGAGAGGTTTATTTTGGCTCACAGTTCCAAGGGATGCAGTCCATGGTTGAATGATTCTAAGGCAGAAGCAACATGGTGAAAGAACATAGCAGAGGAAGACTGCTCACACATGGCAGCCAGAAACAGAAGTGAGGACCTGGGGGTAGGAATACACCTTACTGGTCAAACACCCAGTGACCCACCTCTTCCAACCAAGCCCTTGTCTCCAGGCACACTTAGCTGTGAACTTGTCAGTGAATTAATCCAATATCCCCATGAGCTAATCATCTTTTAAAAGTTCCACCTTTGAACATGCAACTCTTAGGAAACAACATAAATCTAAACCAGAACATTCCAGCCTAATCCCCAAAAGGCTCATGTCCATCTCATGCAAAATGCATTTAGTTCATCTCTTAAAAGTTGCCAAAGTCTTAACAGCTGGGCATTGCTGAAAAGTCCAAATCTAAAGTCTCCCCTGAGATTCAAGGCAAACTCCTAGCTGTCAGCTCCTGTAAAAATGAGAAAGTTGAGTACTTCCATAATACAGTGACAGTGTAAACATTCCCATTCTAAAAAGGAAAGTGAGGACAGAAAGGAATTGAACCAAATCAAGACTGAAAACTAGCAAACATTAAATTATATATCTATATGTCCATTACCAGCACATGGCACAGATTATGGCAAGATGTGAATTCCAGAGGGCTTGGACAGTTCTCTTCCTGCACTTTTCTCAACACACAGTTCCCATTCCTGCCATCTCCAACTTTCTAGGGCCTCCACTGCACTTTCGGTTTTACTCACAGCTTCACATATTGCTCTTTCAGGGGCACACTGCCTGGCCTTCTCTGCCACCTTCTGAAATCTGGGTGGAAGCCTCCATGACCTCACAACTCTTGCATTCTGCATGCTTCAAAAACTAGGACCACATGGATGACACCAAGGTCTTCCGTCAAAGGGAACAGTAGCAGGTCCCCTTTGGACTGCGACATAAGCAGCCTAACTGCCTGGACAGCTGAACCCTGAGAAGCACTTTCTTAAATTACTCTGAATGGGCTGGGCTTCCTGCAGCTCTCTTCTCAAAGCAGTCTGTCAAAGTTGGTTACCTTTTCACACCTTGAGCTCGTAAAATGGGCCTGACAAATTTGTAAGATGATTTCAAGCCTATTGTCCTCATGCAAAGTAGTTGGCTTCTTTTTAATGCTAACCTTTTCACCAATCATCTTTACCCCAACTTTGCGGGTGCTTCCTTACGCAAGTTTTTAAAACCATCCAGCTCTGCTTTATGTTCCTGATTCTCACTGTAGAGCTTACTAGAAGCAGATACCAGTATTCATGCCACAGCCTGAACACTGAGCTATCTTGAAATTTTCTCCACTAGATCAGTTTCAGTTTCCAGTGGAGTCCTAGTTTCCATGTGAAACCTCCTGAGCCTGAGTTTTTAGTATAAACTTTTCTATCAGCATTCTGGTCATCTGAGGTTTGACCAGCATTGCCCATCTAGTTCACTTACTTACAGTATTCTAAGGCTTCTCTATTTGGCATCTGCAAACCTTTCCAAATTTCTCCTAACAACCTGTTCCACCACATAGGTATGATCACAGCAACAACTAAGGTATTAAAAACTGGGTTAAAGATCCCCTTGTTAAGAAGTGGTCAAGAATTTGGCTGAATTATATCCATGCCAAGGTTTATGGAAGGCAAAATAAGAGTGATGAACTAGAGTTGAGCCCAGGACCAAGCACAGACCTTTACCCCAGAGCTATACACCCAACCCTAGTGGAAGAAATTTCAAGAGAAGTTATTGAAGAAGCTGCATGGCTTCTTTTAACTTCATACGGTAATGTACAGGAGACAGTTTAAAGATACAACTACAAAAGGAAACTGAAGTTAATGATTTGAAGAATTTTCATCCTAGTCCTGTAAAGAATGAAAAGAGAGAAAACCAAGAAGGTGACCAAGCAATCATTTCCTAAAGAAATTAGTATGAATAGAAGGAAGACAGATACTGGTCCCCTGATTTTGGACTATCTAGCCTCAATAACTGTGAGCCAGTATACGTCATTATAAATTACCCAGTTGCGGATACTCTGTTATATGTCTTAGTTTCCTCACTACTGAGATAAAATACCCAACACCCAAAGTTGAAAGAAGAAAGGTTTCTGTAGAGGTTTCAGTGCATAGTTGGCTGGCTCAAAGGCAGTGTGGCTTGGCAGAGGTGCATTGTGGAAGAGAAACAGTTCATGATGTGAGCAGAAGGCAGCAAAGCAGTGAAATAATGAAGCAGCAGCAGAAACCCTACCTCTGCCTTTTATCCCTTCCAGACTACCTGCCCTTCAGGTGGTGTCAGTACACAATTGTGTTAAGTACCACAAGAGGGTGGACAATAGGTGCTATGGTGCACCAATGAGAATCAGCCCAACCTAGTGGTCTCTAGGAAACAATGTCCAATCTAATTATTAAGGACAGATGGGAGACAGCCAGCTTCCTGAGGAGACCACTGGTAATGGTAAAAGGTTTTTGAGGCAGTGGGAGAATCACATGCTGATGCATTCTAAAATGCAATTCACTGAATTCCCTTCCTCAGTAGTATCTGTGACTACCTTTACATTGCAAGCCCCTACTTAATAATACTTTCTATTTACAGAGAATGGCACAGGTCCTTGTCTATAGGCATTTTGGTTTTAAGTCCTCACAGTGACCTTATGAGGCTGTAATGTATCTTTATGGTATAGCTGGAATTTAAAGAAGTTTTACTCAAAATCACGATTAATGATAAAGATTTGAACTAATCAGATTCCCAATCCAGGCTCTTTGCCATAATCTTTACATTGTCCTTTGAAGCAATTATATTTAGGGTGATAGAAGCTCTGAATTTATGGGAGATTTCAGAGGATATGTGACCTAAGTAGAGTTCAGCAGAAGGGTAAGTAGATGGCTAATGTAAGGTAGTGACCCATAGGATGACTTTCTCTGCCCTCTAGGGCTTGGAAGAAGTGCTCCAAGGGAACTGGGCAGTATGAGACCTAATTCCAGAAAGATCAACCATTTGGAGACTAGAGGAGCAGCTCTTCATACTGTTATATGAAGCAAGTGATGCAGAATAGCATGAGGATGGACTACGTGGCATTGTGGGATACCACCGTTTTCAGGTAGGAAGCACTCATTTCCCCAGTTCCTGGAACTGTTTCCACTGATAGGTTTCAGTTGAGTCCCTCTGCCTAAGTTTCCCTTGGCTGCACAAATCCCCCTTCCCCAAGCCCTTTTAAGATAGTCCACATTCAGTAAGTGGTTGATACACCAATAGAAAGACCAGAAGAGTCATTTGAATCATGTACTTTGTCAAAAAACCTTTTTTGCATTGGTTTTCTTCATTGACAAGTACGCCAGGGTTTGTGTTTTAATAGGTATAATAACCATAACTGGGATTCAGACATTC